TTAGACTCTTGGCACTCTTAGGTGAGCAGACTTAGTCAGCCTGTGTTGCCCTAACATATGCTCATTGTTGACCTATATAGTTTGCCATAGTGACAGGTACTTCCTTCAAACAAAGGAATATGGACAGTGGCAAAAACACATTTGAATAGAAAAAATTGAGTCCATGTATAGCCACCACTTCACTTACCTGGCATTCAGTACAAATGAGCTGTATGCAATAATTGACTACTGATGGGTGCATATATACAAAGGTCCAATTAAATGGAGGGAACAGATAAAAATGGATAGTCATGTAGCTGACATCTGAAAGAGTTACAATCCCCTAAACCATAACTAGAAATACATGTTGGGAGGACAACAGTGTCACAGTTTGTCTCAGCCAACAGACTTGGGCGAGAAGTAATCTGTCAACCTCTTAATAAAGAAGTTGGAAATCTGGTCACTCAGTGAAGGGCATCCATTTTCTTGTCAGTATTGCTTAAATGCTTCCCTGCGGGCCTTGTTATATGCAGCATGAGCTTTGCCATTTGTGTATATTTCAATGCCATATTTGAAAACAGGTAGTGATGGTGTGGTATTGGTGTCTTGATGACAAACAATATTGTTTCCTACCATTAACATGGGCTGAATTGGAAGAGGATGACTAGAACCCATGGATGTAGTAGTGGGTTCAATTGATTGTTCTTCAGGGTTCTTGATTGCTGGATGCATTATCTGTCTTTTGTGCATATGAGCAGATTTGGCATGATTGTCATAAGGGGGAGGAGGGTAGACATCTCCATACAACTCCTCACCTTCCTTGTCAACTGCTCTCTGCAAGATGAGGATCTCCACCAGTTGGCACTCAACAGCAGTGGCATGTGTGGGGGAGATAGGATTGATTTCCCTGAGCATGTCCGCTAATTGGTCCAGATGGTGTTGTATGGATGCAAGCCATTCCTCCTTGGAGAACTGTCTGTTCATCATCACTGATGAATGTGTTGCTCCATCATGCCGTCCAAAATCCACACTCCCACTGGGAATGGGTTTGACCAAAGCAGGAGCTACCATACCCATCCAGTTGCAATCTGTGACATGCTTCAAGGAGCACTCTTCACCTCCCTGGCCAGATGTACTGGAACTGCAGACAGAAAATGCTGACATGTGGTTCTGGGATATTAACACATCAAGGCAAGATGGCTTGATCCCTGCTAGCCTGTCCATGCGCAGACAACTTGGAGACCAATAATTGGACATAGAAGTCCAATCAGCATCAGTGTCTGTGTTGTGTTTGGGAGTAGTGTCCATTCCACACTGGCTCTCATCTTCTCTGAGCTCTGCGAGGCTAGGCTTGGGTGAAGGGGCTTCATTTGGATGGTAATGTAATGGAGCAATTGATCACCAGTCATTGCGATTGGGCTGTTCGTCTATGGAGTTTGCAGTTGCTGCATTATATTCAGCCTGGCATAGTTGTGGCATAATGGCCATACCATCAGGTGGCAAGCTGTCTGCACCTTCAGCAGTAAGACAGTGGCAGGGCAGCTGTTTACTAGTCATTTTACCTGTTTGTGTATGACACATTTCACACTAAACAAGCTGAGTGAGTGTATACCAAGGCTGTAAGTACATTATCATCACCAATGTTGGGTTTGCAACTTTTTCAATGACAAGAGTTGTGGGGAGGTGTGTTTAGTGGACTTGATGAAGGCAAAGGGTGTGACAGGAGTGTTGGCAGCAGGAGATGTGATATAGGAGGCTTTTGAGTCTGTATGCTGTGGTGTCAGGTGGATGACACCATGTGATTTATTGACACCCTTATACCAACCAAGGTCTTCTTTAGCATATTTGTTATTTCAACTCACAAATCTTGCTTACTCCTTTAACTTGCTGGGCCTTCTTATGGATGCAAGAATAATGGTATGTTCAGTCTGTATTAACCTTATTTGTATATTGTACAGAATAAAGACTGTCATATCATTTGTGTATGGTAATGTACAAGCATGAATCCCTGTTCTACTGCAAGATTATAGCTGACATCAATTGTAGCTAGATGGTTTCACTGATCCAGTGATCCACTGGAGGGCTTCAATTGAACCGAAGCCATTCAACTCTTTGGACAGGCTATTTGCATGCTCAAAAGAGTGGCATTAGGGATTTCCATCTCTGCAGCACGTTCATTGTACCCACCAACTCAGCCATGATATTCACCTTGTCTTTCATCTTCTACCACCACCATGATTGCCCTCTCTATGTTGTTTTTCTTGCCCTCTAGGCTCAACAATTGTGAAGTAGAACTTCTACCAACCACAGCTCCTATGACTATGTTGACAGCAGGAGAAGATTTGATCAATCCAGACATTGTTCAAGCATCGACTTCTACCACCACGTCCACACACTTTGTGTTGTTATGGTCCACTACTAGAAAACATCAGACAAAGGGAAAAGGTCCTTTGCTCCCTACAACATCATTTACTCTGAGGGTCTATAACCTGTTGACAATGGCAAGTGCTCTCCTTGACTCCCTCACTTTGAATGTTACTGCTCTCTCAACACTTGCAGTGAATGAACTCATGGCAATGGAAGGTGGACCCAGCATCAAGGCAGAACAGTGAGATGGTATGGACAATAGAGTTGGGTTGCATCAGGAGTTTGATAGAAGGGCTTGGGGGGGCTTTGGGTGGGGATGGATGGCATGGCAAGCCTGTTTCATTGGCTGCTACAGTTGGGGAGGGTGGGAGTGGAACAGTGCGTGCCTTACAGATTCAATATGCCATTGTGCTCACAGATTCTTGCAGCATATACTGACCAATCAAGAGTCTGTTGGTTGCAATGCTTTGTTGTATTGGGGTCTGCAACCTGCAAATGTCACCATTGTCCAAAGAAATCAGATGGATATTGCTTGGCGTTCAGCTATCTACCTTGTCGATACCATTTACGGTACTATATGCACATTTGGCATGGGTGGTTGGGATGTCATGGGATCCATTTGGATTTGGTGCTGGAGGATTCCACCTTGGTGTGGTGGAATATGTTCATGGATGTATCAGCAAGGAATCAACATCTGACTTGTCTGCATGTCTCTTACCGGATCAATTATTATGATCATTGTACTCTCCATATGCATCACTGTCAAGGTTGTTAACTGTGGATCAAACTTTCTCTGGCACTATAGGGTTATGGTAGTGGCCATTGTCAGTGCATTTTTCTTGGATATGATTCAAGTATATATATGCTGATGGAACATCTAGTCTTCATCGTTACTATGGCTAAAGTATCTGACATACCGGTTCCGAAATTCCTTATAGGTGTTCTGAAGCCAATACCAGAGTTCTTGAAGTGGGGAGGAGCTCTCTGAATGTAACCTCTAGGGGGGGGAGGTTCATAGTATGTGTATATTCTCTTCTATTGCCAGTTCTTGTCTCCTTAGCTTATAGCATGGCATACAAAGAACTTCTCAATACCAAGTTGAAACATCTGCTATATTATAATACAGGTCTATAGTATACTACTTAGAAAAAGCACCTCCGCACAAGAGCTAGGGTCTTGCCAGCACAGCACGGCCCCTTTCCCAGTAACTTGAAGAGGGAGGGCTGGTTGCTTCCGTGCTGTCACGTTCCGCGCTTATATTTGCGTTGATGATCAAACCGCATCTCGGGAGCATCCCACAATCGATCAATGGATATGGCAAACAAATCAGCAGGTGAAGTCCATGTGTATACGTAGTGGATACATTAAATAGAAACATGGACTGATGGAGTGATATATCCTGGAGAGCCAAACGCGGATTCATGAACATACATACTCCTTCTCCCCCCACACCTCATTTTGATCTTTCCGAGGCTGGCCCTCTTTCAGCCACATGGCATGTGCTCGAAAATCTCTCTCTGCGCCTGGTATGCTCTCCTTGAGCTGCCACACTCCATTATCGTCACCAAATACATCTATTGCCCAAGGCTCGTGTCTGACCAGTTCCTGCTCCAGCCAAGGACAAAATATCTCGCCCGATTCCAATTGTTCAAAACAGTCCCACAAGCCCACGCAGTCCCCACTTCCAAACATGGTGTTGGAGATCGGGGTCGCCAGAGCAAAGTCGAGGAACACGAAGAAGCGCGGCTTCCCAGGTACTTGCAGCACTTTTCTGGGGTGACATATCGCCGTGATGCACGCCGCATAAATGCAAACAGTACACGCTGAATGCAAGCTGTACAATCTGCGAAAGAATGCGTTAGCTTCTCAATACAGGGCTCAGCCATGGAAAGTGACATACCGAAGCGTGGATCCCAACCTGGCGCTCTGCAGAATAGAAGGAGCCGTCGATCATCCCTTGATAATCTCGTTCCAGTGTAGTTCCTTCAACGTACTCCATGGCGTGCCCAATCACGCTCTGGCCGCAGGGGAGTTGGAACTTGAAAGTTCTTAGATTAGCAAACTCACAACATAAATACGAAGATCACGCACGTGATAGAAGCCATAGGAGTGGGGTAGCAGTAGACCTTGCAAAGGTCTCAGCTGCGCAAATGCCCATCCTTCGTTTCTGGATATTCCTGCAGAGGTGCGCAAGGAACGGTATAACGATTCTAGGGAGTCGTCATCGTCATCTTCCGAATACGGAAAGAATGCTTCTTGAAGTAGCTTGATAACGACTTGATGCTGTTCGGTGGTGCTGGGAATGTGGACGGATGCGAGCCAGACTTGTGCCCATCTGTCCTTGCCCGTCTGTAGGCCACGCGTTAACGTCAAGGAAATACTCTCGTCTTCTCCGGCGAGAGGCAATCGAGGTCGAACTGGGGGTCGATAGGGAAGTACGGCCAAAGCTGCATCAGCATCGACAGGTGAAACTTCTTGATCGAGTAAACGAGTCGCTCGCGTCCCCTTCAGCAGAGTACCCTCCTTCAACGGATTCCTTTCCGCCTGCATTCTTTCTCGCTATAGCTCTATCAATTCTATCGAGTCTTTTTTGGTTGTAATATGTCATCCTTGTGAGGGGGATTATCGTAGTGCGGGATGAGTGGTTCAAAGGGATACACGCGGAAACTGAGGACTCCTCCCAATACCAATGCGATCTTCCAATGGCACCTTACGCCAAACCTTCGGGACACGGAAAGCCGCCTCGATGGCAGCATCCATCTCTGCCACCCTGGGGTATTGACGTGTGACAACGGGCTTGAGCGAGAAAGATGCGATGGCTGTCTGCGTTTTTGACATGGTTGATGGGAGGGAGAGCGGATGGAGCAAACATTATTATAATATGGGAGACCTGATGATTATAATACATCAGGGCACTCTCGAGCGTGCAGAGTATATGCTCTCAATTGCAGAGGAGTGTCTAGGAGACGTAGACTTGACAGCAAGTGATAAGCCTGGATTTCATCGGTACATCAAGCGGGAACCGCTGGGCGTCGTATTGGTTGTCGCTCCCTGGAAGTACGTCGCTCGTCTATTCTACTAGCGAAGCTGATGGCTGTAAGCTATCCATACCTTGTGATGATCGACGTCGTCCTACCGGCCCCGGCCCTCCTAGCGGGTAATACGGTCCTTCTCAAGCCCTCACCGCAAACGCCGCTCACCGCCGAACTCCTTGCCTCGACACTGCTCGCCGCTGGCCTTCCCACACAGGCACTTCAAGTACTGCACCTGACCCCCAGGCTCGTAACGCACGCCTCCGCCCATCCCCTCGTGAACTTCATCTCCTTCACCGGTTCTGTCCTTGGGGGCAAAGCTGTAGAGCGGGCAGCAGTGATGAGCAATGAGCAGTATGGGATATAGGAGTGTAGCGAGTGGGCGATAGGGGATGTAATGGGATGCTATTTGGGGTGTACAGAGTGCTGCTGGTCTCAGGCGACATGCACGTCTTCAAGTTGCAATTGTTCTGTGCCATCAGCTTCTGATACTTGTTGCCTCGTCTCCCATGTGATTCCCTCGGAAACAAAAGAGAAACAGGAACAAAGGTGCCGCGATATGACACCTTGCCTCGCCAAATAAAACGAAACGAAATTGCAAGGACAATGGAGAAGATGGATAACAGGCCTGCAGCCGCCGCCAGTCGCGTCTGAGCCTATTCTGCTCCCTGGTCACTTATCATCATCGCTAACTACTATGGCAACCTACAAACAATACATGAAAAACTGGGAACGAGACAGGAAAGAAGCTGAAAAGTATCCATTGACTCGGCGGATCACGCTGAACGGCACAAGTGCTGAAGATGATTTCGATCATCCCGTTTCGACCATCGACGTACACGCCGCCCTGGCCGTGGTGCCTTATTGTCCCCCAGTTCGACCGCATTGTCTTGCTTACAACGACTTTCCGACTATTCTTCTGACCTTAACGCGGGAGTCTGAAGACTGGGGAAGATAGATGGGCGCAGGTCTGGCTCGCATCAGTACACCTCCTCAGCGGCAACCAAACGCACCCTGTCGTCGTCAAGCTCTTTCAAGAATCTCTGTTCCCGCGTACAGACCCGACAGCTTTCGAATACTATTGTGCTTGGTCTGCCGCCGCGCTATGCGAAGCCGAGGCATGGGGGTATGAACAAGCCAAACCTTTGCAAGGACTGCTGTTGCCGCACTCAAATGGGTTTTATCGCGTCCGTCACCCTTCACACTATCACAAGTTCACTGATCTAATTATGTTGCAGTTCGAACTTCCGTGCGAGCAGATTGTTGTCGGTCATGTTATGGAATACATTGAAGGACATCCGCTCGAACGAGACTTCGATGGAATGATCGACGGCTCCTTCTACTCGCCGGAGAGTCAACTCGAGACAATTGTTGGTGGGTCGCCTTGTATGCGCGGATCTGTCTTGAAGAAACTAACATGTTCTTTGGTAGCTCCCACAGCTTTCCCTCAGTGTATATTGTCTGCATTTATGCGGTGTTCACCATGGCGACCTGTCTCCCAATAACGTTTTGCTACTTCCTGGAAAGCCCAGTTTCTTTATATTTATCGACTTGGATCAATGTTCTCCGTTGTTACCGAATCCATATGGTAAACCGGATAGCTCTGGCTTGTGTTACTGCCTTCAAGAACTTGAATCTGGCGAGAAGGTCACTGCTTGGCTGGAGGAAGAGCTCGTCCGTAGCAAGGCTTGGGCGATAGACGTTTTCACCTCGACGGATGGGTTCGACGACCTCAAAGAGTCGACCCTAGCCATAGAGGACCAGTACCAAGGTCAGGCTGGGTGGATGAAGGAAGAGAAGGAGAGGCAAGGTTCAACGGACTGAGTCGACGAGCCATAGGATTTTCCGTTCGATTGATCTCCACATCTTGGTTATCTCGACCTCTCCATCGTCTATGGAGGAGCTCACGCGCCGTGACATCCAACCAGACTGAAGGGAGGATAGACAGGACGAAGACATGCTGGCCGTCGGGAATTAATAAAATGATATGACACCCCGCTGATCTGCAAGGGTTCGCTAGGGCCTCATCTTATCAATTATATATTTAAAATGCCAGTGCTACATATTATCTCCTTTAAATAATTTGGAAGACAGTGTTGATCCCTGCCCTGCGCAGATTTGCAGTGTGCAGTTAAGACAACCCAAAAATGCTGGGCGGATGAAGTCACCTGGTCGTTGTATACACGTAACAGAACAATCAAATACATGAAGCGGACATTGATGGATATTATGACCGGTACTAGACAACAACAGTACGCCTTCGTGAATGGGGTTACGTAGTTCAGCCATCAATGCACCTCGTTCTGACCTTTCTCATCCTGGCTCTTTTTCAGCCGCATCGCTTGTGCTTCATAATCCCTCTCCGCGCCCGGGATAGTGTGCTTGAGCTGCCGGGTTAAACTGAGATCACCTAATATGGAGAGTGCCCAAGGTTCGTGCTTAACCAGTGCATCCTCCATCCAAGGACAGAAAGTCTCGCCCAATTCCAATTCTTCGGAGCACGTCCACAAGCCGCAACCGTCCATCGTCCCAAACATGATGTCGGAATACGCGGAAGCTCGAGCAAAGTCGAGGAACACGAAGAAGGGCAGCTTTCCAGGTATTTGTAGTACGTTGTTAGGAGATACGTCGCCATGATGAACGTCGCATAGATGTAGACAGTACACGTTGAAGGCAAGCTGTACAACCTGCGAAAGCGTTGGTGTCTCGAATGTAGAATTTTGATCATGGAAAACACATACCGCAGCACGGCTCTCACTCCGTCTCTCTGCCGAATAGAAGGAGCCGTCGATCATCCCTTGATAATCTCGTTTGAGCGCATGTCCTTCAACGTACTCCATGACATGTCCAATCACGTTCTGGCCGCAGGGAAGTTCGAGCTTTATATTACTTAGGTTAGCAAACTCACAACATAAACACGAAGATCACGCACGTGATAGAAGCCATAGGAGTGCGGTAGCAGTAGACCTTGCAAAGGTCTCAGCTGCGTAAATGCCCATGCTTCATTTCTGCATATTCCTATAGGAGTGTGCAAAGAAGCTCCTTCGGTGACGTAGTCGTCGTCGTCAATGTCATCACCCGGATGGGGAAAGAATGCTTCTTGAAGTAACTTGACAACAACCTGAGGGTGTTCGGTGGTCCTGGGAATGTGTACAGATGCGAGCCAGACTTGTGCCCATCTGTCCTTGCCCGTCTGTAGTCCACGCGTTAACGACAAGGAGATGCTCTCGTCTTCTTCGTCGAGAATAAGTCGAGGTCGGAATGGTGGCCGATAGGGAAGTACTGCCAAAGCAGCATCGACATCGATGGGTGAAACTTCTTGATCGAATAAACCAGACGCTCGCGTCCCGTTCAGCAGAGTACCCTCCCTCAACGGATTCCTTTCCGCTATGATTCTGTCTGCATTCCTTTCCGCTATAGCTCTCTCAATTTTCTGTCGGCTGAAATATGGGCTCATTGTATCGGGGTTTGCGGTGACGTGGTGGTATGGGTATGATGACAATTCCTGGGACCTTGGTACCCAGGTCTTGAAATGAATAATTCGACAAGAGAATGCATCCGTTTGGGATGCATACAAGCGGTTACAAAGATCACGGGGTCCCAGGACTGCTATCCTATCATGACTGCGTTATTGACCTTGACGGATGCAAATCTTGGGTCAGGTTCGAGCTCCTGCGAACATGAGACGACCTTTTGTACTAGCCGGGCAAGACCCTAGCTCTTATGTCGATTTGATGACACGGAATCTAAATACAAAAGAGGAAACTAACAAGTTTCCATGGAGTTACCATATCCTTTTTACTGTCAGCGTTTTGATGCCGAGTCGACCCAGGTAAGAAGAACCCTACTCTCACGAGCTAGGGGATTCATGCGTCTTTTGTCACTAATTGCCTGGAGCATGGCTTCTCTCAAAACATTCCGATCTGTTCGTTGGTGTTGGCTGCATTGCCTATCAGGTGTCTTGTCGTCAATGTCTCATTAGTTGCTTTTGTTATGCCTGAGTGTCAGGCAGCTGTCATCGATATCCTTTGTCTATTCAAGATCTTTGCCAAGCCACAACTTTTGCTTTCTATATTCTGAAAAGAGAAACAGATAGCAACGTTGCTGAAGCATACATGGTAACTTGGGAATGCGACCGGAACATGGAACAGCACCAGGAGCAATCGTTCTTTTCATGAATGATTTCAACTCTCTATGTGGATGCATCCCTGGCGCTTCTTCCTTATCGACTGCTTGTTGTTCACGTTAACTCAGGAATGAGACAAACAAGATGCTGCACAATTGTTCTTTTCATGACCGCATGTTAACTGTCTATGTTACAGCCCCCTGGAGCTTCTTCCTTACCGACCGCTTGTTCATGGTAACTTAGGAGCAATACCGGAACAATGCTGAAACATATCCATTCATTTTGGGTCAAGCCAAATGGCGCATAGAGCAACCATTGATGAACCCAGATTAACTATCTATTTTAATTCAGCCTTGGCGCTTCTTCCTTATCAACCGGTTGTTCTTAAGCTGCTATGATATCTTCTAGCCAAGAGACGGGAATGACGCAGTGTCGGTATGTCTTTCCTTTTTGGTTTTGCTTATGTCATTGTGAGGCTTTGACGCGGTTGGAGGATATAAGAGGTGCATCATATGCATGAGCTATGCCCTCACAACACTTTGGACGCGATGTCTCTTCATTCTCAACCTGCACCACTCCAGCCTATCCGAACTCCACATTACCAGCTCAATAATCATGGTATCACGTACAATCCATCTTGGATTGCCCTCAGCCCTTATCCACTCTTGGACCTTTACGGCTTTCTTGAAACTTCGCTTGCAAACAATGACACACCTGCACCTTCCTTGACTGCGAACGGAGAGCCAGCTTCTAACCCCTCCACAAAAAGTGAACATACTAGGAAGTTCGAGAACTGGCACCTCTCTCTCATCACATCACGGAAGTTTGAAACTGAATACTGGACCCTCAAGCAATGGCTTGAAGCTCGCATCAAAGTGATGCCATACTTTCTTGACAAACAAGCCACAGAGTCTTTTTCGTATAGTGAAGAAGATGAGGCGTGAGTTTACCCCTGTCGCCCTGTCTTACTGCGATTCATCAATACTCATACTTTCTCTTCACAGGAAAATGGCCTATATGAATCTTCACCAACCTGTGCGGGAGGCCCTCAACTCCGTTTTGAGATGTGCAGGTTCTACATGGAGAGTTGAATGGAAGGCAGAAGTTACTACCGATGGTATATCTCAACTTTCTCAGAGTTGCCCTTGAATATTATCTTATTTCTCTTGTAGGTGGGAGGTCTGATCAGCTTCTCGTTGCACTCCGGAAAGATGTACGATATCAATCCAACTATGACTGGAAGGAATGTTCCAGACACCGTGCTAACCCGGTAAGTGGCACCAAAGCAGTTGTGATAGATGTACTCTTACCCATGCTGAACAGGCACCCACTCAATATGCACTCTGTATCGTGGAGGATAAAGTATAGTTCTTCTGTACCCAAGCTTAATCATTGGCTAAAAGTCTGGTGCAGAAACCACCGTATGTGCATGATGCAGGGTTTCATGAGATTACGGGTCCTCGAAACGGCACCGACCAATCATATGAGTATCGAATGCATGCTGACAAGGACCGTCGATCAATTCGTAAAAATGTCATGATGCAGCTCATGAAGTCTGTATGTCATTCTCAATGCAAAGCTGGTAATCTGAATCCTAGCCCAGATACTGTGCCGCGTTCTGCTGTCAGCGGGTTATTCTGTTTGACTACGATCTCTGCTATATGCTTCACTTCCAAACACCTGTGATTGCAGCGGAAAAGCGTGTGAGGCTTATTTTTCGAGAGGATATTGCGGCACATGTGAAGCAGATAGCAGCCAGAGATGCACGAAAACACTTATTCGCTCTTGGGCTGAGTGCATTGAGCGAACTCGGGTTAACTGATTAGTTAACTATAGGGAGGAGAGTAGAGACGAGGCTGTAGACCACAAGGCCTGGGATTGTTGCTATACACCTTCAATTTGCTCACTTAGGTCTACCTAGAACGATAGCAGAAGACAATTTTATTCTTGCATCACATGGATATTGTTCTGGTACAATTTGGACCGTGCTAGAGGACGAGAATATATATGGTTTGCTCAGACGATCCCTTAGCCATTGGCTCCCTGCTCTTGTTCGTCCCCTATCTCACTCACCATGCCAGAAACGCAGACAACCATCGCACCTCACTCGCTCAAGCCCGTTGTCACACGTCAATACCCCGGCGCGGCAGATATAGATGCTGCCATCGAGGCGTCTTTTCGTGTCCAGAAGGTTTGGCGTAAGGTGCCATTGGAAGATCGCATCGGTATTGGGAGGAGGTTCATGGTGCGCTCTTTCACGCCTGACGCCATCCAGCATTGAAGGATGCTTGAAGACGGAATTCGAGGCTCAAAAAGATCGAATTGCTCAAGAGCTATCCGTGCAGATGGGACGCCCAATCCGCTACACCGCAGGGGAAGTACGAGGCACTCTCGAGCGTGCAGAGTATATGCTCTCGATTGCAGAGGAGTGTCTAGGAGACGTAGACTTGACAGCAAGTGATAAGCCTGGATTTCATCGGTACATCAAGCGGGAACCGCTGGGCGTCGTATTGGTTGTCGCTCCCTGGAAGTACGTCCCTTGTCTATTCTGCGATCGAAGCTGATGGCTGTAAGCTATCCATACCTTGTGATGATTAACGTCGTCCTACCGGCCCTCCTAGCGGGTAATACGGTCCTCCTGAAGCCCTCACCGCAAACGCCGCTCACCGCCGAACTCCTTGCCTCGACACTGCTCGCCGCTGGCCTTCCCACACAGGCACTTCAAGTACTGCACCTGACCCCCGGGCTCGTAACACACGCCTCCGCCCATCCCCTCGTGAACTTCATCTCCTTCACCGGTTCTGTCCTTGGGGGGAAAGCTGTAGAGCGGGCAGCAGTGATGAGCAACGAGCAGAACGTAGGGGTGAAAGGTGTGGCCTTGGAGCTGGGGGGGAAGGATCCGGCATATGTGCGAGAAGATGCGGATCTGGGGTATGCGGTAGAGCAGCTTGTGGATGGGGCGATGTTCAACTCTGGCCAGAGCTGTTGCGCAATCGAGGTGCCCTTCCCCCTCCCTCTACCATCTATCCTCACTGACACCGCACATCGTATCTGCAGCGCATATATGTCCATCAAACGCTCTACGACCGCTTCGTAGAGCAATTTGTCGCTCTCTGCAGCAAGTATGTCCTCGGCGATCCCCTGGACCCATCGACAACGCTAGGCCCCGTCGTAAGCGTCGCATCCGCGTCGCGCATACGAGCACAAGTCGCCGCTGCTGTCAAGCAAGGCGCAAGGCAGCTCGTACCCCAAGAGCCCTTCGTAATAGCTAAAGAAGGGAGCGCGTATGTAGCACCTATGGTGCTGGTTGATGTTAACCACGGTATGCCCCCCGCCGCTATCCCACCATGATGCAAGTTAAGGGGTGATAGAAATGGACGTAATGATGACCGAGACCTTCGGTCCTGTCGTCGGCATCCAATCAGTCTCCTCCGACGCAGAAGCGTTGAAGCTGATGAACGACTCCCCCTACGGCCTCACAGCATCAATCTGGACTTCTCTTCCCGCCTCGCAAGCGGTATTCAACAACTTTGTCGAGGAACTTGAAACGGGAACGGTATATGCGAATAGGTGCGATTATCTCGACCCGGCATTGGCGTGGACAGGGGTGAAGGACTCCGGAAGGGGAGTGAGTTTGAGCCGGTTTGGTGAGTCTTTACACCGGGTTTCGGGGGAGGGAGAGGCTGAATTTGGGTTGGGTAGGGTTCGACCAGTTAACGAGGGCGAAGAGTGTGAATATGAAGATCGCAACGAACTAAGCCGTGGTCCGAAGAAGGCTTTGGTGTAGAAGCGAGATTGAGTCTGGAGTTTGGCAATGGTTTGGGTCGTTGGATCTAACAATCAATGACTTGGAATGATAATGTCTGGTTAGATGAACTAAGCGACCTGGGGATTGGCTATTGAAGAAGAATATTTGGCCCGAATGTAGCTTGGTACCAACTCGATGTATATGTACGGTTACAAGATGCAAATTATGCTACTGGGTGTTTCATGTTTACTTGAAAACGATATCATGATACACCGGACGTGGAGGTCTGTGTGATAGACAAGTTCCGCGCCATCTGTACCCATCCCCATGCTATATATTGTTTGCTCTACTACCTTCGATGCGTTCACGAAGGTTGCCAGGGATCACTCCGGGCACTTGCCAAACAAGGATAAACCAGCCCCACACACATTGCTCCATCAAACGCTCTCATTAACCCTTCCCTATGGCAAACTACGAAACGTTCCTTTAAAAAATGGGAACAGGACAGAATAACAGCTGAGACGTATCCGTTGACTCGAGGTATTACGCTATATGGCACGCGAGCAATTGGTCTTTTCGATTACCCCATCACGGTCATTGATGCCGATGCCGCTCTTGCAGTGCTTCCTTGTCGACCCGATGTTCGACCTCGATTTCTGCTCTCCAAGACTTCTGCAAGTATCTGCATGACATTGACAACTAGTTTGCAGACTGGAAAGGACAGATGGGCACAAGTCTGGCTTGCATCTCTACACCTCCCTGACACCCAGCAGCAGTACCCGGTCGTCGTCAAGCTCTTTCAAGAATCACTGTTTCCGCGAACGAACGGATCTGATTTTGAATACTATTGCGAATGGTCGGCTGCGGCAATGTCTGGATTCGAGGCATGGGGTTACGAACAACGCGACCTTTGCAAGGCCTGCTGCTGCCTCACTCATATGGGTTCTATCGCGTAGGTCACCTTTTCACTTGTGCGTGTGTTTCCTAATTTGATCGTGTTGTAGTTTGAGCTTCCGTGCGACTAGATCGTTGTTGGCCATGTTATGGAGCACATTGAAGGACGTTCGATTGAGCGAGACTATGTTAGTATGATCGACGGCACCTTCTACTCCGAAGAAAGTCGTCTTCAAAGGCAACCATTGGTACGCAGCTTCTTCAGTCACTAATTGCTTTTGCTTTTGGAAAGCTGAACCATGCTTTCATAGCTGCGACAACTCATGCTTAGTGTTTATTGTCTCCATCTTTGCGGCGTCCATCACGGCGATCTATCTCTCCGCAACGTATTGCAACTTCCCGGACAACCAAGCTTCTTCGTATTTCTCGACTTTGCACAGTGCGCTCCATTCTCCGGATTCGTGGATCCTGATATAGGCGATCCCGATGATGTAGGACTCTGGCTGTGCCTTCAAGAAATAGAGTGTGCCGAGAACCTCATTGCCTGGTGGCAACCGCAGTTTGATCATCACGAGCCTTGGGCAGAAGGCTTGTACACGCCGGACGCATTCGGGCAGCTGAAGTTGACGGCGCCCGAGGGAGAGTGTCCGCATCTTGCTCATGTGCGATGGCTTACTCGGAAGGCAGACAATCAAGAAAAATAGGGCTGGACTCGAGAAATGAGTGGGGATGAGAATCTCAGGCTTGAGGAACAGCTTGGCAGCTGGGCGACTTCCTCTAATCAACAAGACTCAAGCAGACAAGAGCAAAATATGTGCATCCGCATATCATCATCAACTAGATCAACTAGATGAATCAGAAGAACCAGACCCGTACAATGCTACTAAGTATCCTGTATTCACGTAGAAGCAATAATAAAGCAGAGTGCTCACGTATCCGTAGGGTGGGAGAAGATCGGCGCCGTATCTCCTACGCTAATGCATCTTTGCTTCTCCTGCTCATTCTTCAGCCATGCAGCCTGAGAGCGGTACGACTTCTCTGCAAAATCCCCTAAAGCCTTGTGTTGCTTAATTGTGTTCTGTGTGAAAACATCCACCGCCCAAGCCTCCTTTTTATCCTCAACCTGTGATAGAACCCAGGCAAGGACATCCTCGCAGCTTTCCAATTCTTCAAGGCACCGCCATAATCCAATGCTATCCGCTGTGCCCCAAGGATCCATAGAAGTCGGAGAGGAGCGTGCAAAGTCGAGGAACACGAAAAAACTGGACTGCCCAGTGAGTTGGAATATATTGCCGGGCAGCAGATCGCCGTGATGCACGCCGCATAGATGCAAGCAGTAAACGCTAAGTGCAAGCTGTAGAAGCTTCGAAACAAGGCGTCAGTTCTTCGGATGAAGACCACGGTTATGCAAAGCAGCGTACCAATGGTTCCCTCATAAGTCGACGTTCTTCAGAATAGAACGAGCCGTCGATCATGGATTCATAGTCTCGTTCCAACGGATGCCCTTCAATATACTCCATGACATGACCGACAACGATCTGCTCGCACGGAAGTTCAAACTGAAAACCAGTCAGATTTGTGAGCGGATAGGACAGGGTGAAGGGTGACGGACGCGATAGAACCCATATGAGTGCGGCATCAGCAGGCCTTGCAAAGGTTTCGCCTGCTCAAACTCCCATGCCTCTAATTCAGAGCTTGTGGCTGCACAAACTTCCTCATAGTATTTAAAGTCGTATCTGTCCATCTCCGGGAATAAAGCTTCTTGAAAGAGCTTGACGACGACCGGGTGCTGTTGCTGGGTGCTGGGAAGTTGTACTGATGCGAGCCATACTTGCGCCCATCTGTCCTTCCCTGTCTGTAAGCTCCGTTTCAACATCAGGGAGATTTTCTAGTTGTTCTCGATAGGAAGGTATCGGGGTCGAACAGGAGGTCGATACGGAAGTTGCGCAAGGCTGGGATCGGCATCGATGATGCTGACCGGATAAACGAAGTTAAAAGTTGCTGGAGTGCCATGCAGGGCGACTCCTCGGGTCAACGGGTAGGTTTCGGCTTCTTTCCTGTCTAGCTCCCATTGTTTCATCCATGTTTTATAGGATTTGCGTCGTGCCATGAAGCCTGATAGAAAGTAGAAGAGGTCGAAGCTGGAATGTCAGACTACCAGCCGGTCGCGGAGGGCAGGTATCTGTGACTCCTCTTCGTCCCCTAGCTAATGAAGCATATGCATGGAAGGCGATCATTCACTAAGCACTGGCTGACGCGCGAAAAGCAGACGGTTTGGTGCAGCAGGTTTGCAAGGAACGCAGCGAACATGAAACGTGCATGTTGTCCTACGAGGCACGCTATTGATGAAGTCAAAGACACACGGGAGCAGTCTAAGCAGGACATCTCCCTAGGCTCTTAGTACCAGGAAATACATTATCATTCTGTATATGTAACACAGTGACACAGCAACATCGCCAAGATACATCGCAAGCAAACACTGCTGGTGATGAGAAGTCGCGTCGGGCATGTCTGACCTACTCTGATGAACTGTTCTCCTCCTGCTCCTTCAGCCACAGGATGTGGGAGAGGAAACGGTTCTCAAGCATGTGCGCTGACGACTTTATTTGATCGAATGAGGCGGGGGTGAAAACGTCCACCGCCCAAGCGTCTTTATTCACCAACTTTGGTTCCAACCAAGCGATGACATTGTTGGTGGCTTCCAGCTCTTGCAGGCATTCCCATAGTCCCATTTTATCCGGCTTCCCGAAATGACGCATGGAAGGTGGGGTGCATCGAGCCAAGTCGAAGAAAACGAAGAAAGTTGGCTGCCCAGGAAGTTGCATTAGGTTGGTATCAGACAGATCCCCATGATGAACACCGCAGAGATGTATGCAATATACACTGAGTGCAATCTGTAGGAGCTTCAAAAAACCGTGAGTGGGTTGAATGCAGACCGTGGGCATGGAGAGTAACGAACCATCGGCTCCCTTTGCAGTCGATTCTCCGTCGAGTAGAACGTGCCATCAATCATAGCTGCATAGTCTCGTTCCAGCGAATGGCCTTCAATATGCTCCATGACATGACCAACAACGATCTGCTCGCACGGAAGCTCGAACTGCGACACAATCAGACGGGGAAAGTGTAGAACAGCGTAAAGAGTGACGGACGCGATAGAACCCGTATGAGTGCGGCAACAGTAACCCTTGCAAGGGCAGCAATTGCTCAAATCCCCACGCCTCGCGCCCAGAGCTAGCAGAAGCAGACCATGCGTAGTAGTGTTTAAACTCAACCCAGTCTGTGCGCGGGAACAAGGCTTCTTGAAAGAGCTTGACGACGACTGGGTGTTCCTGACTGGTGCCGGGGAGGTGCACCGATGCGAGCCATACTTGTGTCCATCTGTCCTTCCCTGTCTGCAAGCTCCGTTTCAACGTCAGGGAGATGTTCTGGTTGTTCTCGATAGGAAGGTATCGTGGTCGGACAGGAGGCCGATAAGGAAGTAGGGCAAGAGCGGCGTCAGCATTGTTGGCCGCAATGGGGTATTTGAAGTGAGGGGTCGATGGTGTGCCTTCCAGGGGGACTCCCCGAGTCAGCGGGTAAGTTTCAGCTTCTTTTCGGTCTAGGTCCCATTTCTTGATGTATGCTTCATACGCGGCGCCTGTCATGATGTTTGATGGGATGAAGGAGAGTTCGAGGCTGGAGGGTCAGACTACCCGCCTAGCGCGTCGTCCCTAACTGTGACTCCTCCCAGTTCCCAAGTGTAGATACGGAGATGATCATTCCCATTCAGCATCTGACGTTTAAGAGGAGAGAGAGAGAGAGATGTAAGGTGCAGCGGAGGTATGTACAATGGCGACGGTCGCGACCAAGACGCATTTAGCACTGCGAAACGGTAGATAGGAAGTAAAAGAGAACCCTTGCCTCCGACAATTCATACAGGTCCATCACGACTGTTCTTCATCGATCTTCACTTACACTTGACCTCCTTGTAGACCTACAGTACCTTGTTCTGCTGCGCAGAATAAGTGACGGAATGACAAGAGTGCGTGCAACCAGTTGCGATTTTCGCCCCAGGCAACAACCTGCTACAGTATATATTAGCGATTTCGATGAGCACGATAACCATTTGCGTCATTCCACTGCGATGACTAAGAAGTTCGTATCCCACTAAGCATCCTCCTCTCCATCCGTGGATATTGAGCTTGGCGGTGTGGGCACATGTGGTGTCACCGTTGATCTTTTTCCCGTCTTCAACCGCACCTCCTTCAGCTACCGAACATGTGAGAGATATGGTCTCTCAGTGGCATTAATAAAACCCTTGAATAGGTCGAGGATGTCTTCTGTGAAAGTGCTGACAGCCCAAGGTCCGTGACGAATGAACTGGGGTTCCGCCCAAGCAACGACATTCTCCGCAGACTGGAGTTCTTCGAGGCACTGCCATAATCCTGGACAATCCGGCGTGTTATCCAGCGCAATGTTACGAGTCAACGGGTACATTTTAGCTTCTTTCTTGTCCAGTTCCCATTTTACCATTTATGCTTCAAACGAGTCGGCGCCTGCCATGAGCTTTGATAGGAGGTGGGAGCTGCAAGATCAGACCACCGGCATCGCGGGTCTTCCTCGGTCGTGACTCCTTCCAGTTCCTTATAGTGCAGAACCAGAGACGATCAATATTCCCCCTCAGCATTTAACGTGTGAATCGAGAGAATGCGAGTGTTGCGTTCCATGTCAGTTGTTTTGAAGCGGAAGCATGCAATGCGGCGACCGACGCGATCAAGACGCGACTTCCTTGTCGAAAGCCCTCCTCAAACCATCGACCTTGCTCACGCACCATCTAATGGCAGCCCTACAGCCCCGAGTATGCCACCCTCACCTGGTAATCCCCTAACCTACTCGTGGTCATCGTCAATCTCCCCGCTTTCGTCTTGACGACAAGCTGTATCCAGTGAAGCATGCCCCGAGAGCAGGACACGAACCAGAAGAGTATCTTCTTTTTGCCACTGCGCCAGCGTCAGAACAGCGCGTGGGGGAGGACGTTTGAGGTACGCGAGCGGCCTTGTTCGTTGAGTCGATATTAAACTCCCTCTTGCAGATTGTTCACTTGCCCATGTACTCGTCGCCTTCTCCTCAATTGGTGCCATCCCCTGCCACCCCCCCGAACTTTTCTCAATGAAGATCATTGAGCGCACAACTGGGATGATGAATTGGCCGATCGGCGAGAGACAACCGCGGGTGACACTTCTGGTGGCCGAACAACGATGCAAAGATCGGGTTTGGCCAAATCTCTCGCGATGACATCACGTAACTGCCGACATGTACGCACTAAACCTGCGCCGAAGTACCCGAATTCGCTGGATCATTTTTGATAGTACAAGCCGCTCGAGATTCGCGTCTATGTTATGCACACAAGATCCTCCAATCATACGGAACCAAGACTTGCAAGTATCGCGTGCAATTCTCAGAGATCGTCAACGAGTCCAAGCAGAGCGTCGCGCATAATGACTGCTTTCGGGCCAACAACCTCAAGGCGTGATTTGCCCCAGGTCGGTGGGGGTATTCTTGGTCCGAGGAACGCGTAAGAGCGCCGGAGCACCAGCCCCGAACTTGACGACCAAACACAAGGTCCCGCCTACATCTTTGAAGCAGACTCTGTCTCGGCCAGCCGCTGTAGGCGCCGCTGCAGGAGCCCGGAGAGGGGATCGACAAGTCGCTGACGGTCTCGCGTCGACGTGATGGAAAAGGTTAGCCAACTTTCACCATCGTCGCTCGGTGGCTAATGCTGTCCGCATAGATTGGAGACGCCTGCTCACAACAAGAACCCGAGATTCCTGAGGGTTCCTCATGCGTTGGAACACGACCCTCAGCACTCCCTCACCGCACTAATGAAGGTATGCGCGGCCGGGAGGCAGTCGCGTCTCGAGCTTGACGAGGCCAAGCAGGAATGTGCCACCTCAGGCGTTCATCAATGGAATACATGGGTTGATGGGCTGGATAGTATAGGATGAAGAACGCGTCTCCTCAACGGCAGGAGCAAGCACGTCTTGAGGTTGAGAATGCGGAGGACGACCTCGTCCAGCAAACCGAGGTCGCCATCACGCTTAGGAAGACACTCTTGGATAACGTGCGTTTCATCTCCCCAACATTCACAATGATTCCCCATATTGATCACTCAATAGCCTGAGCCACTCAAGAATCTCAACGAGCTCGTCAAGGCCCAGCTTGTCTTCCACAGCACCGCAGCCGAAGCACTCCAAGGCATCCAAGGCGACATCGAAGAGCTGACCGTTGCCGCAGAAGGCAAATACCGGAAGTCGCGCGACCACTAATCGCTCTGCTCCTCCATCTTGCTGTTCGCCTCCTCCCAGGCGCGCCGGACGTTCTATCAAGTTCATGATCCTGTAGTCCTGTTGGTGACCCAAGAGTGTCCGTTTCCATGACTGTTTCATCTCCCCGTTCCCTTATCTGCTACCGTTTCGCTCTAGTGCCTGTATATGACCGAAAGTATCGCTTTGCAATGAGATCACTGCGAATTTTCACATGCGTCGTCCATGGCGTCCCTCTACAAAATGGAAACTTCCGAATCTCAACCCCATGCATAACACTGGCACACGCGTCCGACGAGTTATCGGAAGTAAATCAGCCTTCTTCACCCGCGTTAAACCACCGTTGCTGATCAGAGCTTTACCTCCACTGCATATCGTGAGCCAGACTGAGATGGCTCCTAAGGTTATCCTCGCCAATCACATTGGATGATCAGAGTAGACAGTGGTGTTTAGTTCCAATTCGAAAGGGTGAAAGCAGTGACGGAATCCCGAGAGTGCGTGTACCTGGTGGAGACTTTCTGCTCACGAGGAACAACACGACAACTATTTGCATCCATTCCACTGCAATCACTACAAGTCCGTAACCCACTAAACATCCAAGTCTCGATCCGTGGATATAGAGCTTCGTGGTGTTGACAAACGCTCTCGCACCTTCGATCGTCTTCTTTTTTCCTGCTCTGCCTTCAGCCACTGAACATCTGACAGGTACGGTCTCTCAGTGTCGGGAACCGATGCCTTGAATAGCTGAAAGGCAGATTCCGTGAAAACGTTGACCGCCCAAGGCTCACCACAAACGAACTGGGGTTCCGCCCAAGCAACGACATTCTCCAAAGACTCAATTTCTATAAGGCACTGCCATAATCCCGTTCGATCGGGCGTACCCTTCACCGTAGTGATAGAATATGGATAGCACCCAGCAAAATCAAAAAACACAAAGAAAGTCGACGGACCAGGGAGTTGCCGTATGTTCCTGGGAGACAGGTCGCCATGATGAACACCACATAGGTGCAGACAATCAACACTAAGAGCAAGCTGCTCTAGCTTCAAAGCAACGCGTCGGCTTCTTCACGCCAGATTACTCGCAGGAAATTGACGAACCAAAGGTTGCCTCTTGAGTCGACTCTCCATTGAGTAGAACGAGCCATAGATCATGGCTTCATAGTCTCGTTCGAACGAATCGCCTTCGATGTATTCCATCACATGCCCAACAACGATCTGGCGGCATGGAAGCTCAAACTACAAGACTATGAGATCGGTCAGCGCACCGAGGAAGGGGAATAGAACGGACGCGGAAGAATCCATATGAGTGCGGCAACAGCAGGCCCTGTAACGCTCTCGCCTGTTCATAACCCCATGCCTCGAACCCGGACAGGGACGCAGCGGACCGCTCGTCATAATCTTCGAAATCATATTTGAACATGCGGGGAAATAAAGCTTCTTGAAAGAGCTTGACGACCAGCTGCTGTTCCCGTGTGCAAGGGAGGCGGCATGATGCGACCCAAACTTGTGCCCATCTGTTCTTCCCGCCGTGCAGGTTACGTATTAACGTTAGAGAAATAGTCTCCCAGTTTTCGGCAGGAAGTAGTCGGGGTCGAACAGGAGGCTTATAAGGAAGTATCGCAAGGGCGGCATCGGCATCGACAGCAGAAAGCGGCTCTTCGTGAGGAACAATTGTTCGCGTGCCATCCAGCACAATGTTACGAGTCAACGGGTACATCTTGGCTTCTTTTCTGTCTAGTTCCCAATTTTTCATGTATGCTTCATAGGACTCGATTATTGCCATGACGGCAGGAAGTAGGAGAGTTCAATTCGTCGCTGGAAGGTCAAGTTGCGCGCCCGGCGCGTAGCGCCGATCCGCGTCACTTCCGGGCCTGGTGTTGGATCATTCCCAATCAGCGTCTGACGTGTAAGGGCGTGTCGTTAGTGATCTCCCCGCGGAGGTATGCACCATGGCCTCTCGCACTTCGGCACGAAATGGTTAGGGAATATTCATCTCAACGTCCATCTGAACATTCTGCGACTCGCTTCCCTCCTACTGCTCCGCAAGAGAGGGACCCCTCGCTTCCGAGTATTTATCCACGACTCTTTCGCTCTTTACCCGCGCTTAGCCTCCCGAACGGATCCTCCTACGACCAATTTCGCCAGTCATCATATTGGTTGCTTAAATTGAAGGTGGAGGCGAGGTTAAACTTACGATGGAGAAGAAGTGAAAGAATCGAGAAAGGGTGTGCACATCGATGCGATTTTCCCCTAGAGGAAACCACGTAATTAATGAATTCTACGCACATGACAACCAGTTGCATCCATTCCACTGCAATTAGGAAAGAAGTCCACCGCCCACTAGTCATCCTCACCTCGACCCGTGGATATTGAACTCGGTGGGGTAGGGATACGCTCTTTTGTGAACCTTGATCTTTTCCTCTACGGTCTCTCAACAGCGTTAACCGACCGCCTGTACACCGCGAGGGCCTGTTCATTGATAAGATTTATGGCCCAAAGTTCGCCGCGAGCGAAAGGAGGGTCCACCCAAGCAACGACATTCTCCGAAGACTCAATTTCTCCAAGGCACTGCCATAATCCTGTACAATCCGGCTTGCCTTTCCACGTCGTGTAGAAGGTATATGGAGCGCATTGAGCAAAGTCGAGGAACACAAAGAAAGGGGACGGCCCAGGGAGTTGCTTTATATTCCTGACAGACAAGTCGCCATGGTGGACACCACATAAATGCAGGCAATAAACACTAAGTGCGAGTTGCTGTAACTTCAAAAGAACGTGTCAGCTTCTTCAAGGCAGATTCCCAGCGAAAAGTTTGACCTACCACAGGTTCCCTCTTCAGTCGACTCTCCATCGAGTAGAACGAGCCATCGACCATGGCTTCATAGTCTCGCTTGAAAGAATGGCCTTCTATGTACTCCATCACAAGGCCAACGACAATCTGGCGGCACGGGAGTTCAAACTACTATGCAATCAGACTGTTGAACGCGCAGCGGACGGGAAAGTGTGGACGGACGCGATAGAACCCATATGAGTGCGGCAACAAAAGGCCTTGCAAAGCCTTAGCCTGTTCATATCCCCATGCCTCGACCCCGGAGAGTGCGACAGCAGACCAACTGGCATAACATTCGAAACCACTTTTGTATGTGCGCGGGAACAAAGCTTCTTGAAAAAGTTTGACGACGACCCGGCGCTTTTGCGGCGTCGTTGCCAGCCATACTTGTGCCCATCTGTCCGTTCCGGTTTGAAAGCTGGTAGTTAGAGTTAGAGAAACAGTCTCTGGATCATCCGTAGGAGGTAGTCGGGGTCGAACAGGAGGCGCAGGAGGAAGTACCGCGAGGGCAGCATCCACGTCGATAGTGGAAACGGGGATGTCATAAGGGACAATTGTTCGTGTGCCAGTCAGTGGAACGCCTCGAGTCAGCGGGTACGTTTTAGCTTCTTTTCTGTCCAGCTCCCATTGTTTCCGGTATTCTTCATAGGTTGTCATAAAGACTGCGCAGAAAGGTACAGTAGCAGCAGTTACCGGAAGCTTTTGTCTGGATCAGATTCTTGTTTGTTTGACCTATCAAGGTGAACATTGCCTTTCCGCAAGACCTTCCAGTATCTTGACAAACAAGCAACACACTTAACCATAACTCTGGATATCGTTAATCACACATATTGTTATGAAATGAACATGCTCGGCAAGAAAATGGGAATGACGGAGTTGCGGAATGTCTTTGAACTGATATTGAGCAATCGGGGATGCGATGTTCGACTCGTGCCAGAACAGTTGTGCGACCAACGCGCACTCTCAACCAATAGTACCCCAACCATATGCGAACCGTGTCACTCTCTCTCATCTCGAGCCCCACCGAGGATCCAGTCTAAACCGAGGATCCAGTCTAAACCGAGGATCAGCAGTCGATCCTCGTCCTCTTCCCTGTCGAAGACCATCGGACGTACTCATTCTGCCTCCCAGATCAATCCACGAAGGATCATGCGTACTCCGGTCTCACTTTGATGTCCCATATATCCGGTACTTCGCGCTCTTTCCCATTCGCTCCTATCGCCCCTGTTCCCGGAGTGGTGCTCGAGAGCAGCCCTGCACCGCCTAAGACGCTCCCCGCTCCTTTGAATCGACGCCGCTCGTAGTACAGCGTTCCGTATGGTTCTTGTCCATCTCCAGCACTCACGACTCCCAGAGCGATGAACCTCAGCGTCTGGGTTGCCTGCCCTAGTCGCTGGACCATCGCATTCCACCCTCGATCCGGGAAACTGAGCTTCTCAGGAAGGAGAAGCTTGAACAGCTTGAGTGTATGCAGTGCTCGGAAGGAGGGAAAGTGTAGTGACGGGTCGTGTGCTGCGCTGATGCTGAGTGCTACTGTGCCTGACCGTCTTTCGCGGATAACGAGGGTGTGTAAGCCGCGTAGGGAATCGGCGAGCAGGCCAAGGAGCTCGAGAGACGCTTCTAGCACGGTTAGCTCGATGTACCGCAGTTCGCTTGGTGCTGATGACTGGGCGATGAGCGGCAGACCAGCGCGCAGAGAAGCATTAGTGACGAAGTCTATTACCGCGAGCTTTTCCACTGGTCTGCGAGGTACGAGACGGAGCGCGACAGCCCAGGAGGTCGTTAGCTCCCGTAGAGCGGGGAAGACTTCGGTACGGGAGAAAACGGGGCTTGTATGCGTGACGAAGTCTCCTGCCATGAGCGCTGCAATCTTGAGCTGTCGCACTGCCGGCTGGTGGTAGAGGAAATTTGAGTCGCAGGGTCCGACGGTGAGGAGGAGGAGTGTTTCTAACTCGAATGGACACTGGTCGAGGTTGGCAAAGATGTGCAGGTTGCCGTCTTGTCCACAAAAGCGGAGTTGTTTGAGTCGATGCAGAACGCGGAACACGCGGAACACGAGACGCAGATAAGGGGGAAAGAGGACGGTGCGGAATGCGTTGTCAGATGCCATGGACGGGAGGTCGTGATACAGTGCGAACTCGATGCATTGTACATGGGAGCCGAGAGAGGGCGTGCGAAGGATGGTCCGGCATATCTGGGCGGTGCGGAGAGGAGGACCGAAGTAGAGTGAGCGGTAGAGGTAACGTTGTGCTAGTGTACGGAGGGTGCGAGATGCGAGGCAGAGTCGTACCAGAGACGGTCGGTGGATAATGAATGACAGAATCTGGTCAAGCAGCTCGGGGGGGAGGGATGGCTGCGTTGGTGATGGGGAACGAGAGAAGGGGGTGCGAGATGGAGAAGCGGAGAGTGTTGATGTAGGTGAGGGTGGGGATCGAAAGGATGTCGTGCTGTATGACGAGGGAGGAACGATAGAGAATCCCTTTGATGGAGGGGTGAAGAACGGATCCATGTCGACCGTCAATCGTTCAGAGCACTGTGGTGACAGAGTAGACAAGAGGATGAGCAAGGCAGTGGAGGGGATGTGCCTCACCACTTATCCTCCTCTGACAGAATAACAGGCTAAGCCTTGAAGCCCCGATGTCGCCTGCCGCGTCCTGTCTTGTCTTGTGATGCGACTGATGATGCTCCGACGGGGAATAGTTCGTCAGAGTGTGTCGACACGGATGAGAGAACGGCCGAATCTGTTGAAGGATGTCGAGCGCTCGCAGCCGGCGGGGTGGGAGAAGCTGCAGCGGGATGAAGAGGAAGGAAGAAATCGCCTGATGATCCTTGAATGGTGGCCGATATGGAAGGACGAAGGCGGCTAGGATCGGCCGGAGAGGAAGGCGAGTTGCTGCGATGTGACCTTACGGCTTCGCGGCCGGATGAAATGTCCTCCCTCTACTTCCTCCCTCTGCAGTCGTGCACTTGAGGTGAGGGCCTGACTGGGAGTAAACCCGTTCCAGTGAGCCAAGAGATGTTGTATCGCTTGTGGGGGTATCGACGTCAGCTGCAAATGCGTGACCTGAATGATAGCAGTCAGAACAACAAAGGGGAACGGAGTACAGCGATACGGAAGGCTGCTCACGGGGTAACGAAGGATAGACAGATCATCCAAGCCGTGTTAGTATCTCCTGCCTTGTTGGGCGCCTCTTTTCCCCCAGGCCGTCAACCATGTCGCTCACACGCTTTCTCATGTGCGGTGGTCACGGTCAGGGACAAAATAAGGAGACTAACTAGCCCCTCCACCTTGCGCGTGGGATGGCTGTGTTTTTTTTTTCCCCTTGAGCGGGAGAGGTATATCTCCGAGGCAAGGCTCATCAGATGAGCGATGAAGGATGAGTGATCTCCCGCCGGCTGTCAATCCTCTTCACTTTTCTCATCTATGCTCCTCCAGCCTTTGTCACTAGTACTGTGATATTGGCAATACTCTAGATGAACCAAAACATGCTCATTCCTATCTTACCCGACTCCCAGATCACTCATTCTCAAAAAGGCATCGTACCCACCTTCCCCAACGTACTTTTCTTACACCACCTCAATCAATATCAATAATGTACAATGTGTATCATCCTTCTTGGCAGCATAATCCCTCATCCGATCTATCTCTCAGCAACACGGGAAACACCGGCGCGCCCTTGCCAGAACGTATACGCCGCAACGACAGCGTTCGGTCCCGCGGCAACCAATCGGAGTAATTATCCCCGCCTCCGTCCCCGTCCTCCTCGCTTCCGGCACGTTCTCACCATCAACGCATGCTGGAGTCCGACACGACCGTATCTCTTCTTTCTATCCACAACCCGATCTCTGCCGCCCATGTCGTGGCAACCCAGTCGCGTCCACAGCGGGTCGGATCAACTAACGTCCAAGCGATGTATTCATTTTCCCCCTATTCTCCCTTCCGCAACTCCTGTTGAGGTTCTGAGCGGCAACTTGTGATGTACGCGTTGCGAGATCGTTCATCTGTGCGCGTGTAAGTTCGGGTAAACATTACGAGCGTCAACCTTGCTCGGTCACGTTTACGGTCTCGAGCGGACCGGGCCTGCAGTTGACGAGCGGTCGTGCTGGAGAGGAAGGTGCGAGGGCGGTGTGGAGGTTGGAGGCTGGATCTCCACGGACCGACTTGACCAGAAGCATGTTGGGGAGAACGATCAGTCAGCCAGAGTCCTCGGGAAGCGTCAATGGAATATGCACATGACTGAATAGGGATGGGTAACAGTTTGCCGGAGCCGGTTCTACTCTGACGTTACTAGGACAAATGGGATGAAGCCCTTTAACCGGCCGAAAGGAAAGGAAAAACAAAGTGAGCGGGTGCGATTAGACAACGAGAGGATTTGCTGGGAGTTGCAGGCTAGTTGGAATACAGATGGATAGATCCATATATGTTACCGGCAAGATCGCAACCGGACAGTACTAGTGCAGCTTGACCAAGTCCGTCGTGCGTCTGCCCCTGGGGAGGGTAACGTTCTTCAGGCTTAACATATCTTGCCTTCATGAACGCGTGAAGAGGCTCGCCGCTACGGTGAGGGAGGCGCTGAGGGTCGTGTGACGAGGGGTGAGGAAGCGCTCTTGTTATTGACGGGTGGGTGTGATCTAGGAACAGAGCATTAGTCTTAGTCTCTGAGCGATGCTGACGAAAGCTGGCTAACGATTTCGTTCACCTCGGCTGAGACCGTCATCCCCTTGCCAATCCGCGCTCTAGATTCCTCCGCAGGAGAACTCATAGCAGTTGGGCCTACTTCAAAGTTTAGGCCGGACCTTCGTTCATCAAATACGGGGCGGGCGTATTGCTCCTCTAACGCGTCCCTTAGATCCAAACAACTACAGCACTCCGAGCCCAAACGTACCTTGAGGTCGTTGGCTACGATAGCAGTCCGTTTGTGTGCGACGCTCTGGCTGAACTTGCCGGTGGTCTTTGAGATGTCCGTGGGGTGGTCAAAGGTCTGGCTCCCGTATGGCTGAATGATTTCGTGCGGTGAACATCGACACGGAACTCGCGTGTCTTGTACTGTCAAAACGAATTCAGCACATTGGGGTACTGGAGAGCAGGATTAGTGCGTACCTGCCGGCAGCTGCGTGATGTCATCGGGAGAGATATGGCCGATCGCGTTCCCTGTAGGAGCATCGACACTTCACCCAATGATCCTTCCAAGCAGCACGCAGGTCATCGACGGAGTTGCCAACCTTCTTCGCGATCACCGCCCGAGTCGGTGCACCTTTTCGGTCACCAGAGGCGTCGTTCGCTGGTTGTTCATCGCTGACCGGCTGGTTTTGCATCTGTGTTGAGCGCTCAAATTGTTTTCATTGAGAAGGGTTGGGAGGAAGGCAGGGAGTCGCGGCAAGTAAGAAGAACGAGACGAGAACTCGTTGTAGTGGAAAAATAAGCAGAGCGCGTAACAAGGAAGGTGACGGATTCATGAGAATCGACGTGGAAGTCGCATCTTGATTGTGTCGGTCGCCGCATTGCATCCTTCCGCTTCAAAACAACCAGAAAGTACGAATCCTGTCTCTGGCTCTCTCCTCCAAAACAACTGACATGGAACGCAACACTCGCATCGTTCTCTCGATTCACACGTCAAATGCTGAGTGGGAATATTGATCGTCTCTGGTTCTGCACTATAAGGAACTGGAAGGAGTCACGACCGGGGAGGACCCGCGATGCCGGTCGTCTGATTTTGCAGCTTCACACACTCCCACATCCTATCAAAGCTCATGGCAGGCGCCGCCTCGTTTGAAGCATACATGGAAAAATGGGAACTAGACAAGAAAGAAACTAAAATGTACCCGTTGACTGGTAACATTGTGCTGGATAGCACGCGAACGATCGTTCGTTACAAAAAACCGCTTTCTGCTGTCGATGCCGACGCCGCTCTTGCAGCACTTCCTTATACGCCTCTTGTTCGACCCCGACTACTTCCTGCCGAAGACTCAGAGACTATTTCTCTAACCTTAACACCTAACCTGCAGAGCGGAAAGAACAAATGGGTACAAGTCTGGCTCGCTACAGTGCACCTCCCGGGTCTCCAAGCCTTTTCAAGAAGCTTTATTCCCTCGCACCCACAAACATGGTTTCAAATTTTACGCCATATGGTCCGCTGTGACACTTTCTGGGTCCGAAGCTTGGGGTTATGAACAGGCGAGAGCTTTGCAAGGCCTTCTGTTACCGCACTCGTCTGGGTTTTATCGCGTTCGTCCTAATCCTCCTTCGCGTTGACCAAACTCATCGTCTTGTAGTTTGAGCTCCCATGCCGCCAGATTGTTGTTGGGCATGTGATGGAATACATCGAAGACGATTCGTTCGAACGAGACTATGAAGCCATGGTCGATGGCTCGTTCTACTCGATGGAGAGTCGACTCAAGAGGAAACCTTTAGTACGTCAATTTCCCACCGTAAATCGGGTATGAAGAATCCGACGTGTTATTTTGAAGCTAGAGCAACTTGCTCTTTGTGTTTATTGCCTGCATCTTTGTGGCGCTCATCATGGCGACCTGTCTCCAAGGAACATACTGCAAATACATGGGCCGTCACCTTTCTTTGTGTTTTTCGATTTTGCTCGGTGCTATCCATATTCTATCGATACGGTGAAAGGTACATCCGATCGGCCAGGATTATGGCAGTGCCTAGTGGAAATTGAGTCTTCGGAGAATGTTGTTGCCTGGGTGGAACCCCAGTTCGTTCGTGGCGAGCCTTGGGCGGTCAACGTTTTCACGGAAGAGGTCTTCGAGCAATTCAAGGAATCGATTCCCGACACAGAGGACCCGTATCTCTTATATGTTCAGTATCTGAAGCAAGAGCGCGAAAAGCCAAAACGATCAAAGGTGCGAGAGCATTTGTCAACGCCACGAAGCCCAATATCCACGGATCGAGATGAGATTGCTCAGTGGGCTACGAACTTTGGAGTGCCTAGAGTCGAATGAATGCACCTGATTGCAGAGCTCGTAGAATTCATTAATAGGTTGTTTCCTTTAGCGCGAAAATCGCATCGGTGTGCATGCATTCTCGTAATTTCTTTACTCCTTCCACACTTTCAAATGTGAGCTTAACGTCACTGTCTAATCTGATCAGCGAATCTGATCAACGAGGTTGACTGTCTGAGGAGCCGTTCCGGCCTTGTTCACGATATGTAGTGGAGGTCATGTTCTGAGCAGTGGTGGTCTGACGCGGGTGAAAAAGGCTGATCAAGATAAGGGCCGAGATTTACTTGGGATACGTCATCGGAGGCGATGGTGATCTCATGGGCAGAAGGAAGGGAAGCGAGTGGGAGAGTGTTGCGATTGGGGCTGAGATTCGGAAAGTCTTCATTTTGTAGCGGGGTGCGGACTATGCATGTGAAGATTCGCAATGGGATCTCATTTCGTGAATATAGGCTCTGGGTTGCAAAGCGATACGTTCGGTCATATACAGGCACTAGAGCAAAACGGTAGCAGATAAGGGAACGGGGAGATGGAACAGTCAACGAACGACTGGGAAGGGATACTCTTGGGTCACAGACAGGACTACAGGATCATGAACTTGATAGAACGTCCGGCGCGCCTGGGAGGAGGCGAGCAGCAAGATGGAGGAGCAGAGCGATCAGTGGTCGCGCGACTTCCGGTAGTCGCCTTCTGCGGCAACGGTCAGCTCTTCGATGTCGCCTTGGATGCCTTGGAGTGCTTCGGCTGCGGTGCTGTGGAAGACAAGCTGGGCCTTGACGAGCTCATTGAGGTTCTTGAGTGGCTCGGGCTATTGAGTGATTCAATATAGGGGAATCCTTGTAAATGTTGGAGAGATGGAACATACGTTATCCAAGAGTGTCTTCATCAGGGTGATGGCGACCTCGGTCTTCTGGACGAGGTCGTCCTCCGCATTCTCAACCTCAAGACGTGCTTGCTCCTGCCGTTGGGGAGAAGCGTTCTTCATCCTGTAGTAACTTGACCATCAACCCTCGGCATTCCCTTCATTAGTGCCTGAAGTGGCTGGTGCTTACCCCTGCTTAGCCGCGTCAAGCTCAAGACGCGACTGCTTCACCGCCGCCCGTGCTTTCATCGCCACGGTGAGGGAGGTGCTGAGGGTCGCCTGCCATGGGGTGAGGAAGAGCTCACGGATAGTGTGATCTTGCTGCAGGCGAGCGTCTCCGATCTGGGCGGATAGAATCAGCGACCAACCGGTGCTGGCAAAAGGTCGGCCAACCTTTTCGTTCACCTCGGCGTAGATCTTCAGCGCTTTCCCCAGCCGCTCATCGGGTCCCTCCACAGCGGCACCCACACCAGCTGCGCGGGAAAGAGCGTGGTTCAAAGTCTTGGGTGGGACCTTCACCGCAGGCGTCACGTGGGGAGCAGGAATATTGGTGCCCTAACGCGTCACCCAAGTTAGAATAGCTGCACAAATCCGAGGTAAACGCCTACCTTGAGATTAGTAGCCGCAAATGCAGTCAGGTTGTGCGCGACGCTCTGGCTCAACTCGCTGACGCTCTCAGAGATTTGCGTGGGGTAGTCGTAGGTCTCAGTCCCGTATGCCTGGGTGATCTTGAGCAGAGCCAGGTGCGTTGTGCGTAGAGCATCAACGCGGGACTCGAGTTCCTTGTACTCTTAGCATAGATTCAGCGGGTTGCTGCATTTCAGAACAACAGTGCACGCGCACCTGCCGGAAGCTCGGTGATGTCATCAGGAGAGATTTGGCCAAGGCGTTCCCTACATGAAGAACATTAAACCGTTACTTCATAACCCATGCCGTAAACGCGCACCTCGTCGCCTGAACGGAGTTGTTAAAGCCCTTCGCGATCCTACTGGCGCCGCTCGAGACGCTGCTGAGGTTGATCTGACCGAGGCTATCGAACCCTATCAGCGCGCCCCTCTCTTCTGTGCAAACGCAGCGCACCCAGCAGAGAAGGACTTTGTCCAGCTATTGGCCATTGATGACGGCTCCAGCTTTGAGTGTTAGTTTGGGGGTAGTTGGTGGATACAGAGAGAAAGAGAGTATAATGCTCTGCGAGTTGCGATGCACAGAGTGTTTGGGTTGAAGGACAGATAGGTGCCGGAGCGCAACGGGTTTGTCTCCTGGCTCAGATGGCTGTGCGCAGTGAGGCTAGAGTGAACGTGATTATCATTCTTGTGGCTGTGAAACGTGGAATGGAATGCCTCCGTGTACCAACTGGGGCGACGCGTAACCTTCCCAGGGCTGAGCAGAAGGGCTTGCGCAACGCATATACCTGCAGTACTAGTCTCCTTTCCATTTGTTTGTTCAAGAGGTCAAAATGTCCGTCGACGTGTTCAGGAAAGGTGGGTTCGACTTTAGCAATGCACGGAGGTATGCACGATCGTCTGGGAAATAGACAGGCGCTCATCCTGTTCCAGAAACGCGTTCCTCGAGGCAAAGGGCCTGCCGCTTCCAAAGGCAACAAGCACCGGTACCACTATCGTAGGATGCGTATATGCGGATGGAATCGTGCTTGGAGCGGATACTCGTGCGACTGAAGGACCAATCGTTGCGGACAAGAACTGCGAAAAGGTGTGCTCTCAGTCTTTGACACCTCTAGTCATGCTCAATAGCTTACATGCGTGTAGATCCACTACATCACAGACAACATCCGGTGTTGCGGTGCTGGTACGGCAGCTGATACTGAGTATACGACCGCGATGATCTCCTCGAACATGGCATTGCACGCGCTCTCCACCGGGCGCCAACCGCGCGTCGTAACAGCAATGACGATGCTGAAGCAGTACCTCTTCCGCTACCAGGGACATGTGGGAGCTGCGCTCGTATTAGGCGGCGTGGACCCAACTGGCCCGCAGCTGTATACTATCCACCCTCATGGAAGCACGGATAAGCTGCCGTATGTCACTATGGGCTCCGGAAGCTTGGCGGCCATGGCAGTATTTGAGAGCTCATGGAGGGCGAACATGACCGTGCGCTGTTTCTTAAAACGTAAAAGGACAGAATCCTGATACCTGTACAGAGGGAGGAAGCCGTCCAGCTAGTGGCTGCTGCCATCAGCGCAGGTATATTCAACGACCTCGGTTCCGGTTCCAATGTCGACGTCTGCATCGTCACGAAGGACAAGACGGAGATGCTGCGAAACTACGAGATGCCGAACCAGCGGGTGCAGAAAGAGCGCCAGTATGGGTTTAGGAGGGGAACAACGGCGATCAAGAGTGAGACTATTAGGAGCTTGATAACCAGTGAGACGGTTGTGCCGGTCGGGCAGTTGGTAACGGACGAGATGGATGTTTCATAAGCATAGTGCTTTGTGTTTCTGAGATTCCAATATACATCATGAAAGTCTGATGATTCTAGACCGTTCATAGCATACTTCGTTCTGGTTGCAAGAACTGTGCGCTTCTTCTTACAAGATGTAAGAAGTGAAAGAATCAAGACAATGCTTACACATCGATGCGATTTTCCCCAGGAGAAACTACCTATTCAATTAATTCTACGAGCATGACAACCAGCGGCATGATTCAACTGCAATGAAGAAACAGTCCACCGCCCACTAGGCATCCTCACCTCGACCCGTAGATATTGAGCTTGACAGGGTAAGCAATCGCTCTAACACCATTGTTCTTTTCCTCTTTGGTTTTTTCTCCTTCTCCCGCTCCTGCTTTAGCCATTGAACATGTGAAAGGTACGGTCTCTCAGCAGCGTTAACCGACCACTTATATAGTGTGAGGGCCTGCTCATTGAAAAGATTTACGGCCCAAGGCTCGCCGCCGGCGAAAGCGGGATCAACCCAAGCAACGACATTCTCCGATGACTCGATTTCTCCAAGGCACTGCCATAATCCTGTACAATCCGGCTTGCCTTTCCACGTCGTGTAGAAGGTATATGGAGCGCATTGAGCAAAGTCGAGGAACACAAAGAAAGGGGACGGCCCAGGGAGTTGCCTTATGTTCCCGAGAGACAAGTCGCCATGGTGGACACCACATAGATGCAGGCAATAAACACTAAGTGCGAGTTGTTGTAACTTCAAAAGAACGCGTCAGCTTCTTCAAGGCAGATTCCCAGCGAAAAGTTTGACCTACCACAGGTTCCCTCTTCAGTCGACTCTCCATCGAGTAGAACGAGCCATCGACCATGGCTTCATAGTCTCGCTTGAAAGAATGGCCTTCTATGTACTCCATCACATGACCAACGACAATCTGGCGGCATGGGAGTTCAAACTACTATACAATCAGACTGTTGAACGGGCAGCGGACGGGAATATGCGGACGGACGCGGTAGAACCCGTATGAGTGCGGCAACAAAAGGCCTTGCAAAGCCTTGGCCTGTTCATATCCCCATGCCTCGACCCGGAGAGTGCGGCAGCAGACCAACTGGCATAACATTCGAAACCACTTTTGTATGTGCGCGCGAACAGAGCTTCATGAAAAAGTTTGACGACGACCGGTGTATTGTAGTTAGTCCTTCGTAGCCATACCCAATATATCTGTTACCGGAACATCTGTTTTACCGGCTCGCATGCAGTATCCGGATACTGCCAGACCAATATCAAGGGTGTGTCTTACTTGATTGGTTTCAGGTATCTTCCATGGTATATTCCATATACCACCTCCACATTCCTTTAGATTCTATATTAGATAGCTCTTATCCCCCTGTAATGGGAGGCCAGACTCTTCCCCTTCAACCACTCTGTATTCCCTTTCTAGCTAGCCCCACTCCTTGACATCACATCCTACTCAAACATATCATCGTGCATATACCGCCATACCAGTATACTGCCATTTGTTATCCGGAAGCATGCTCACCCATAGGAGGTTCACACAAGAGCTCAATTAGACTATCTATTGTATCTACGGTACAGTAGGAGTCACTTCACTGGGTGCTCCTGAGATGTGGCAAAGTCAAGGTGTGCCGTTGCCAACCATACTTGTGCCCATCTGTCCTTGCCAGTTTGCAAGCTGGTAGTTAGAGTTAGAGGAACAGTCTCTGGATCTTCCATAGGAGGTAGTTGTGGTTGAACGGGAGGCGCATAAGGAAGTATCCCCAGGGCAGCATCCATGTCAATAGTGGAAACGGGGATGTCGTAAGAGACAATTGTTTGTGTGCCAGCCAGTGGAATGCCTCGAGTCAGCAGGTACGTTTTAGCTTCTTTTCTGTCTAGCTCCCATTGTTTCCGGTATTCTTCATAGGTTGTCATGGTGGAGGATAAAGAGTGAGCGCAAGCAAAGGCAGGTGCTGCAGCTGGGCACAGTCATATCACACAGAAGACAGCGAAGTGTGGGCGGTGTCACGTGACCTTCATTTTGCCTCTCAACGCATTTCGGCGCCACTAATCTTTCCCAGCTTCCATGGCCATTTACTCCCTCTGGGTGATCAACAAAGCCGGTGGGCTAGTCTACCAGCGCACCTTCAACGGTCCGTCCTCCAAACCCTTCCCATTTACGTGCTCGCGATAGCAACTAACTCAGCACAGAGGGACTCGCACCCCTGACTTCGAACGACGCACTCGTGCTTGCTGGGACGCTACATGGGATTCATGCGATTACGGCAAGGCTATCCCCTACGGGGAGCAGCTCGGGTTGTCAGGTCATAGAGGCGGAGACGTTTAAGATGCATGTATTGTTGACTGCGACTGGTACGTGTCTGCGTCTGCCTGTTCCTCTGGCTCCATTGCGGCTCTGGCGCGTTGCTATCGCGCGGTGCGCCTCATGTTCCACAAATTCGGGCAATACGGAATGAGTATGTTTGGCTAATCTACTTTTCTAGGAACGAAATTCGTACTCCTCACCTCTCCCGCCGAACCGCTCACAAACGCCGACCTCGTCCTCCGTCGAGTCTACGAAGCCTACGCAGACGGGGTCATGAAGAACCCGTTCCACACTCCGGAGATGCCTATCCGCAGCGAAGGGTTCGACACCAGAGTGGCGGCAATCGTCAAGGGGGCTTGAGATTAAAGAGTGTTGGGAATGGGATGCAGTAGATTGGGTCAAGGTACTGGGTGGCGCGGGAAGGAGAGATCCGGGCGTGGGATTGGTCCTGATGATGCTAGGGATAGACGTAGGCGGAAGACATCGGGAAGGGCATGTCAGAATCTGGTGCCATCCGTCCCTTGCAGCAAACTCCCCTGCAGTGCGCGTTGTTGACAGGAGAGACGACAGATGTCATTGTTGAAGGATCATTGCGCCAGATGGCGCGTTGTGGGATTGCCTGAACTGTCATTCCGCAGCGGGCGACAGACATCACCGACATCACCGAACAACAGTATAGGCGCCCCCGGGAGCGCCTGATGTCTAGCAAAATTCGCAACAACAGACAAGTGCATGACTCGGCGCTGAATGGGTTGGCCTTCTTTAGGCAGCAATTTCCCCTCTTACCTTGTGCTTCAGCAGTATTGAAGTTCATATGCATTGTCTCGTGATTGTACTGAATGCACAACTGACCGGTGAGTGTCCAATCCCTGAGCGCTAGACAATTGCGGCCTGGTCAGACATCCACAGACGTATGGCACAACAATTTGTTGTTTGACGCAGAAGCCGCTGGTACATGTGTTCACAAAATGAGAAACAGGCACCACATGCGACTGTCAGCTTTTTAGGTAGACCGTCGAGGGGCAAGGACTAAAGGAGGGAAGCTCCGCTCGCCTAGAAAATCCCGGTCGGGGCGGATTGAGGTGTGCCAAGCGCTCACGCACCTTCACGTGCTATCGTTTAACACCACGGGCGGATTTTCCCGTCTCTTCCTTTCCCTTCCTGACGCTGTTGGACCCGTACCACCATGTTTTGCTTTTCGAACGGTCGTGCGACACCTAAACCTTCGCACCAACATGACAGCCCCGACGAAAGCGTATCTCTGCGCCCATTGGAATGTATCCCGCCGCACCCGCTAGTGCACACACGTCGCACGTCGGACGAGGCTGGATGAGGTAGCCCGCCGGCCCCGCACCCTCCCCTTAGCTTACTTGCTCCCCGAAGGTCACCGGTAATACGGCGAGGAAGGCTGCCATCTGGAGCTTATAAAAGAATCATGTCGGCTACTCCAAACTACATACACCATTGGTCACAGTTTCCTCGGGGTGTGCGATCACGTCAACCGCCCCTGCTCTGGCAACTTTCTGCAATAAGCGACCCATTTATCTTGTTGAACTTGCGATTCTGAGCCTCGCATAACTCTTCTCCAAAGTTTCTGAAAGTCAACCAACCTACGCAGTCCTGGCCGACAAGCCAACTGACGAACTCGTTATGGGCATCGCGGGGGAACTTGAGCCCTTCCCTGAATTTTCCAGCCCCAGCAATGAGGGCCCGAGCGAGAAGAAGGACGACGGTACATACAAGCTCCCCAATATCGATGAACATATTCTTCCTGCGGGGGCACATTGGGGCGACGAGCCCACCGAGGAGGAAATGCACGGACCGAACAAGCTTCGGCGCATCAGCGGGCCTATGTGAGCCTTTCTTGTCTTCGTTACTTCTCAAATTCGTGTTGACTGGGAGAATGCAGCAATTGGGCCACCTACCTCATCGCATTCGTAGAGCTGTGCGAACGATTCTCATACTACGGTACCACTGCCGTCTTCACCAACTTCATCCAACGTCCGCTTCCTCCTGGCTCGATCACGGGCAAGAACCCAACGGGCACGCCTGGTGCACTGGGCCTGGGTACTAACGCAAGTACCGGCTTGACCACCTTCAACTCGTTCTGGGTTTACGTTATCCCCTTATTCGGCGCATATATTGCGGATACGCACTTGGGCCGGTTCAAGACAGTCTGCTGGAGCGTTGCCATTGCTTTGTACGCGAATTCATTGTGTTTGCCATTGTGTGACATAACCCTGATAGCTCAATCCAGGATCGGCCACATCTTAATGACGATGTCTGCGATCCCCTCCGTGATAAGAAATACAAACGGCTCGCTGGCGTGCTTCGTTATTGCACTGATCATCATGGGCCTCGGCACTGGAGGGTTCAAAGCCAACATCTCCCCGCTCGTTGCAGAGCAGCATAAAGGACCGGAGACGATGATGATCGTCACTACCAACAAGGGTGAGAGGGTGATCTTGGATCCAGCGGTCACTACGGCGAGGATCTATCTGTACTTCTATCGTGCGTTCTTATCCGCTAAAGCTTGTGTGCTAATCTGATGCATCGTCACAGTCATGATCAATGTCGGAGCTCTCGTTGGTCAGATCGGCATGACCTATTCCGAGAAGTACGTCGGATACTGGCTCGCATACATGCTTCCAACCATCATGTTTTGCCGTGCGTATTCTTCCACAAAGATCCCACCGTCATTCTTACACGCCTTTCAGTCTGTCCCATAGTCCTCGTCATCGGAAATAGGATGTACATCAAGTCCCCTCCCAAAGGTTCCGTCCTCGGGCAATCCCTGCGCATCTGGCGCACCTGTATGGCTCCCTGCTTCACCTTCTCCCCTTCGCGCTTCCACCAAGCCTATAACGACCCAGACTTCTGGAATCGTGCAAAACTGGGATACTATATGAAGTCACATGGTAGGGACAGGCCAAAGTGGCTTACTTGGGACGACGAATTCGTCGACGAGGTGATGAGGGGCCTCAAGGCGTGCGCGGTGTTCTTGTTCTACCCACTTTACTGGATTTCCTATAACGTGAGTCCCCTACCCCATCCAGCCCAAAGCCTAGAAACTCACGGAAAATTAGCAATTGAATAACAACTTGACCTCGCAAGCCGCCACCATGACCACCAATGGGTTCCCGAATGATGTCATCAACAACCTTGACCCGCTCGCTTTGATTATTTTCATCCCCATCTGTGACATGTTTGTGAGTCTAATAATCAGATTCTCTGACGACTGCTGACAAACATGCTTTAGGTCTATCCAGGTCTCCGTCGTATCGGTATCAACTTCAGCCCGATCAAGCGTATCTTTACCGGGTTCATGATGGCAGCTGCAGCCATGATCTGGGCGGCTGTCACTCAGTACTACGTTTACAAGACATCCCCTTGCGGATTCTATGCAAACGATCCTACTTGCGATCCTTCGCCGCTTAACGTCTGGATCCAGTCCGGCTCATATGTCTTAGTGTGCGTAACTCTGACACCTATCAAAACCACTTATTGAGGTCTCTGTGCAGTGCTTTCTCCGAAATTTTCGCTTCTATCACCGGTCTGGAGTACGCCTTCACAAAAGCGCCGAAGAGCATGAGGTCTCTGGTCATGTCCGTCTTCCTGTTCATGTCGGCCATCTCCTCTGCTCTGAACGAAGCACTCAATCCGCTTGCGGGCGACCCTCTGCTGATATGGAACTACGGAGTTGCTGCTGTCATCTCCTTCGTAGCTGGCGTGGTATTCTGGTTTTGTTTCTACAGTCTTGATAAGGAGGAGGATGCATTGAACAGGATTGGTAATGCGCCGCCTAGAAAAGGGGACGAGAAACTGCCCTTGCCCGAACAGCAAGGTGGTGTCTAAAGGAATCAATGAGTATCTACGAAAGAATATGATATCGCTGTACTTTTTTTTGGGTTGCTGAGAGCTACTTAATTGATATTGATATTAGTCATCTTCCTTTACTCAGTGCCTTCTAACGTAAATATCATAGCCACCGAGTCGGAGGCGCAACCCCGAAGTAAAAAAGTGAGGATCCTCATCGTTCCTGCCTTTCTCTCTCTCCTTCCCTGCGATGTGAACTCTGACTCCTGCTTTACTCTCGAGCTCCTTTAAGTGTATCATCATCAATCTGTCTTCGCCTCGTTATGACAGATGAATAAGGTGAGTGCCCAGCACACCATTTACCCCCACATCCCCTTCTCCCACAAATTTCGCATGATGATTCTACGCTGTGCACCAGTCCGAGTTCCTGTCTACGGACAAGGGGCAATGGTGACCAACACCCAGGCCGCTCATATACGCAGAGCAGCCCTGATCCTTCCTCGTTTTGCTACGTATTGGGTCTCGAACCTGAGCTAATCGTGCTGTTTTCTAGGTGGTCTTAAGGCACATTGTTCAGGAATGGCAGGATTCTTTCTGGAGCATACGCCCTGGGACATCAATCACGATGAGAAAAGAATAAATGATGAGTACGTCTGACAGTAGCATCACGCACGCTGAGAGCTGATAACTGTCCAGTATCTATCTGTATTATCGTGTGACTTCCTCTCGAGCTGTTGCATGTCTTCCAACTTGCATAGGAGAATCACAGATCGGTAGTTCGATACCGCGAGTTGTCGAGTGTATGTGCACACGCTACGAGAATGCCATCTTGCTTTAGTAGACAGTATTGTTCCATCACAATACAATTTGTGAACTGCCCTCATGCACGGCACACGCCCAATCGGACAGTGATTCGCAACGTTCTGTTGTCGAAAAGGACAACAATGCAGGTCGAATGTGTGTAAAGGAGTCCGGTCTCCATGTATTTGCGAAGTCCGGTACAGAACAGCGACTATCGACCTAGCTCGAACTATTCTTTAGGCCGCCTGTTCACCAAGCAACGAAAGAACGAAACCCAATTTTCAGCAGTTTGTACCAAGGGTTCACACCGACCATCCCCAAACGGAGATGACCAGTAGAAGGTATCGTCGTCAGACGAAAGCGAAACAAAGCAAGGTATATGGGAGGCATGAGGGAGGATGAGGAACAACAACAGGATCATTCGTCGCCAGAACAAGCGGGTATCAAAGTCCTGAGCCATATCACAACATCGGAGGGAAGAATCGAAGAGAGAAACGTTCGATTTAAGGTCCGAAACGGTCGTTTATTTGCCGGAGACCATTCCGACCATATGGCCAAGGAAGCCAGAGACGACGTGATGCCCGTGCGCAAGGTGGCTGGCCTTGATGGAGCTCGTGTCATAGGAGCCGAGCTGGGTGGTGATGCACGTGGAACGGTCGCTTGAGGGAACGAAACCATCATCGCACTTCTGGACAACGCATGCACCTCGAGAGCAGCGAACGTCTGCGACGTGGGGAATGGAAGTACAGTCTGTGCCGAGGGGTGTGGTAGCAGCGAGCTCGGGGAAGGGAGGTGCATAGGTACAGCCTCCACCTGTATGCGTACACTCATGAGCCGAGGGGACCGGAGGGGGGTAGCAAGTCACTTACAGCTCTCAAGTTCGGACAGTACGTTTACGCACTCCCATTGACTCTTTCCGTTCGCGGTGCCGCAGACACGTTCACCAGCCATAGGGCAGCTGGGGGCAACCGACCTTCGCACGGGGGGTGAAGGAGCCGTCTGGACGGGCAGGCACTGGTTGCCAACCTTGTGGTATCCGGTCTGTGGGGTGTCAGGAGGTAAAAGACGATAGAAGAACAAGACTCACGTCACAAGACCAGCTACAAGGGACAGCCGGCGAACAGAAGGCCTTGGAGTTAGGCGGGTAATGGCAGCTCTGCCCACCAGCAAGGCGGTTGATCTTCATATCCGGTGTCAGTAAAGTGGGACATGCATATACGTGAAAACACACCTCGGCAGCAAGGAAACCGGAGACGGCGGTGTCGCCAGCAAGCGTAACAGCGGCGGCAGCATCCACGTTTGCAGTTAAGAAGACTGTAACCAATCAGAAACGCGCATATATAGGCATAATTGAGACAGACGGGGTAATGCGCTCAAGCAGAGACACACATCAAGCTCGCCGATGACACCGATAGGAAGACCGAGATGGAGAAGGTCCAGAATATCAGTGATAAGGCCGAGCTCAGCGAAGAGATTAAGCTCGACATGCGCGCATACATCCAGCAATGGGGAACGAGGAAGGATGACGCCCAGGACGAAGGAGGGCAAGGCGAGCGCTGCCAGGAGGACGGAGAAAGAGTGCATGATGGACAGTGTAAGGGAGTGTTGTGTAACGTGCGTGAGGAGGGAGGGAATGACTGGATGGGATGAATGAATGACTGACGCAGATGAGTGCGTACGAGTTGGATGGGGAAGGGAAAGGGGTGAGAGGGGGAAAGAGGGTGATCCGCCTAGATTTTACAGGGCCACAGGTTTATGTATGCGCAGGTATCCAACTTTGCTTCAAGTCACCGGTGAAATGGGATCGACCCATGGCGAGTCATCCCGTCGATCTCTGCTCTTTCCATTCCTTCATGTTGCTGTACAGAATGTAGATCGAATGATAAATGAAGACATGCGTCCCGAAGGTTTCAGACGTTAGCAAAGACCGACACCAGACCAGAAGCTGATGAAAGGCGATGAGGCATGCTTCTTTTGATCCAGGTCGCCAGGTTCTGAACTGGGCAAATTTGAAGACAATAGATGCGGAGTAGAGAGAAAGATATGTGCTGATATGCTGCCCAGAGTACATTAGCGTGTCTCTGACAACATGAATGAGGTTGTGTGGTTATTCAGCTCGACTGGCGCGGACTGGATGTGCGCACATTCCTGCTTACCATCGTCTGAAGCCAGAGAAGCCAATTCAACCTCGAAGACATACAGAAAACGATCAACAGAAGGGCTAGACCACCTCGAGATATGAGACGAAGCAGCCGCCCATGAATGTGAACTAAATGAGCCCATGCCGTTCCGTGCCGTCGGACAGTTACCGTGATACTCGCATCTTCCGTCGCGACCGCGAAGAGAAGACCATGGTTTGACCAGGGTGTCGGTTCCTCTTTCGGTTTGGAACCCGAACAACAAAACATGGCAATTTGGCGCCGAGAGGACAGACGATAGAGGCGAAGCAAACCAGTGCGGCAAGGTGACACAGTTTTGAAATGTGATCGTTCGACGTCAACTCTCGATCGGCGAATCGGTGGGATCACGTGGTCATAAAGGGGTATAAACACCAGGTTCCCTCTTCATAAACTCTCGAATCAACCACCAACACGCGTTTGACGAATACACCCTGTGAAGGCGCTGTCCTGCCTCTCATGTATTCTTATTGAGAACCAATGGGCAGTACGCAGCAGCCTCCACCGGCGGCTTTCGGTATTCGGACCCCGGACTTTCATCGGTTCCGTAGCTTTGGCGAACGCCGCTTATGTCATTGGTCTGATCCCCAACCTCCAGCCTCGCGACCAAACGGGCACGGACAACCAGGAACCCTTACGGCTCTGCGGCTCCTGCGAACCCTCCTCAGGCGACGAATCAAGAATGTTGCGATACGTGGAAGGTACGCCGTCTTGGTCCGAGGTGTCCGCTTTATATGCTGATCGTTTCAAGCGCGTGTGAGACCGTCGACGCCCGGTGACCAGGAACGAAAATACCTTCTGAGGTACACCACGCAGTGTTCCTTAGGTCTTGTCTGGCGGAGTTTGGAGATCTGGAAGACATCACGTCCAGCCTGCTTGAGTTGTGACCGACCACAAGATAAACGTCTGGTAGGTCTCTGATCACTTTGATGTTGACCGTCGGCAGATTGTCCCTTTACCGATCAATTTTTTATTTAGATATCTCCGGCGGCCGCTAAGACCAGTTTTCCGCAGCCCCGAATCATACGCACAAGTGACGCGACCGGATATACCCGCCGCCCCTTTCTACTTCTCGCGGCTCTCTGTCTCAACAAACTCTTCTTCGCTGCCCTCAGCAAGTAGGTCATCGAATACATTGGATATTTGACAGTTGTCGGCCGCACTCCCCTCCAGTTTGGGTGTAGAAAACATATTATATTCGGGCTTGGCAGACAGATAAACAAGTTCCACCTCTCTTTGCTCTTTGCGTTGTTGAACTCCTCGATCTCTTGAACCAGCGGACAATGGAACAGACAAACGCAACACCGAAGGAGGCACCCGTGGAGGCCGCAATCGACCCGCCTCAAGTCAGTACCATCGATGTCGACTCCTCTGTCATCGGAGCAACATCAGCACCTATCACAATGGATCAGCCTCCATCCGTGGTGCAGGGATCGAAGGACGACATGGTCAAGGATGCTAGGGATTTATCAACTGTCACCATCCAGTCGGATTCAATGGTTGAAGCTGCGCAGACTGTTCCTGTAAACATAAAAGATGTGAGTTTTCAATGTGCCCGGATTGCCGAAATTGCACTGAACATCCTACTCAAGAATGCGACGGGTGCACGGGATTTCGCAGTTGTTCCATCACCAGTAACCAGTCCGGTACTCGTCCTGAACGAAAAGGCTTCGGCTCGCGTACATGACGACTCGGGCGATGCGATATCTGAGAAGGGTCCTCCTGCAGGCGAGCCAGAGAAGGGACATGGCCTCTTCCGACGACGCAAGCAGAAACCAGTCAAAGAGGACATCCTCGCCAAGGAGGAAGCAACAGCCATCAAGTCAGTTGTCGACGAGTCCGGTGGCCCAGTATCGTTCACCTCGGTTTTCCGCTTTTCGACCCGTCGGGAGCTCTTCCTCAATTTCATTGGGTTGCTCTGCGCATGCGCGGCCGGGTCGGCTCAGCCGCTCATGTCACTCATGTTCGGGAAGCTCACCCAAGGATTCGTCGTTCTTGGTGCTGCACTTCAGGGAGGTGGAACCCCGGACTTTTCGTCCATCGCAGGCGACTTCTTGACCACGGCGCGGCAGGACGCGATGTATATTGCTATCATTGCAGGGGGCATGTATGTGACCACTCATATCTATATGCTCATCTGGACATACACCGGCGACCTGGCAGCAAAGCGGGTACGTGGCATCGTGGCAAGTCGAGCACCCTAAACTGACGCGTTATTATACATACGGCAAGCCTACCTACAGACTGTCTTACGCCACGACATCGCCTTCTTCGACACCCTCGGTGCAGGCGAAGTCGCGACTCGCATCCAGGCGAATACCCAGCTCATCCAGTCCGGGATTGGCGAGAAGGTCCCAATTATCATGACCTATCTATCCGGCTTCGTCGCTGGCTACATCATTGCCTACATTCGGAGCTGGCGACTCGCACTGGCGCTCACGTCTATTTTGCCCTGTATCTCCATCTCCGTCACCATCGTTGCGTACTTCGTTGGCAAGGCTCTTAAAACGAACCAGGATGCGATCGCAGCCAGTGGAAGCTTGGCTGAGGAAGTTATCAGCACAATCCGTACGACCAAGGCTTTTGGCATCCAAGATACTCTCTCCAAGTTGTACAAGATGCACGTCGACATTGCGTATCATGCGCAGATGACGAACATGATCTCCCAGAGTATACTCATGTGGGTGTTCTTCTTTGTCCTCTGGAGCGCATATGCCTTGGCCTTCTACTATGGGACTACGCTTGTTCTTGACGGCATCGGCGATGTTGGTGTAATTGTCAACGTGTTCATGGCTATTGTGCTGGGATCCTTCTCACTCGCGCAGATGGCTCCCGAGATGCAATGTGCGTGTTCTCGCTTATTCCGTTATTTGGGTGTTGATCCACCCATTAGCTCTTGCTGCCGCTCGCACTGCTGCCTCGAAGATCTGGGCCACCATTGACCGCGTGCCCAGTATTGACTCACTCTCCCCTGCTGGACTTAAGCCTGCCACCTGCGAAGGCCGTATTACCTTCGAGAACGTGCGCTTCCGCTACTCCTCTAGACCGGAAGTCGAAATTCTCAAGGGTATCTCCATTGATTTCGAACCTGGGAAGACGGCAGCACTGGTAGGCGCAAGCGGGAGTGGGAAGAGTACTATCGTCAGTCTAGTGGAGCGGTTCTATGACCCCATTGAAGGATCGGTGAAGGTGGATGGTGTAGACGTGAAGGATCTGAACATCCAGTGGCTGAGAACCCGATCGGGCTCGTCTCACAGGTGCGTCGCCAATCGTGTCCCAACTTTAAAGCATCATCACAAACACGTTGCAGGAACCCACCTTTTTCGGCACTACTGTGAAAGAGAATATTGCATACGGCCTCCTTGGTACCCCCCTACGAGCACGCCTCGCCAGATGAGAAGTTTGTTCTGATCAAAGACGCGGCCATCGAGGCGAACGCCGACAATTTCATCCGCAGTCTACCCGATGGTTATGATACGAACGTCGGCCAGGCTGGTCTGTTGATGAGCGGTGGTCAGAAACGTAAGCTCGCCCTGTCGTAAGGAAAACTATTGTATTGACATTCGCATAGAACGTATTGCCATCGCTCGTGCAATGTAAGGACCCGGGTCGTTCTGCAGACCTCTTCAATGGCTAACATACATGCAGTGTTTCTAACCCGCGGATTCTTCTGCTGGATGAGGCTGTAGGTGCTAAGTCTTGCAGTCTGGGTTCACGTTGATCCTTCCGGCAGACATCTGCGCTCGACACGCAATCTGAGGGTGTTGTGCAACAAGCTCTTGACAAAGCATCTCGTGGAAGGACAACGATTACCATTGCACATCGACTTACTACGATCAAAGGCACGTCAACCCCCATGTAAGTGTCTTGACTGACCCTTCTTCATTGTAGATGCCGATCAAATCTACGTCATGGATCAGGGCACAGTTATTGAGCACGGCACTCACGATGAACTGGTCGCACACGACGGACCTTATCACCGTCTTGTCAATGCTCAGAAGCTGCGTGAAGAATCGCATCCAGAAACGGCAGAAGTGCCTTTGGTTGGCGTCGAAACCCGAAGCGATGGTACGGATGACGCAGAATCAGTTGTGTCTGTGAAGCCGGAGATTGAGATCCGACCGGCCAGCGGGTTAGCTCGAGTTCTGACGAGCCGCTCTGTTGCCAGTGTGAATACCAACAAGGATGTGGAGCCGCTCGTGGACCAAGATTATTCTATGTTATATCTCTTCTACCGGATGAGCAAGCTCTGCAAAGAGTCGCTGCCTTATTATGCTCTGGGTTCATGCGCTGCTATGGGTAAGTCAAGTCAAGAATCTGTCCAGGAACTGTAACACTGACGCATCTGCACATCTGCAGCGACCGGCATGGTCTATCCGGTGTTTGGCATTGTTTATGGTATGTTCTCACTAGTCTTTCACTATACTACTGTAGTCTAACGCCGTACAGGTGGCGCCATTGAGGGATTCCAGAGCACTGGTCAAGATTTGCGGAACGCTGGGAATCACAATGCACTACTGTAATCGGTTGCTTCTTACCCACAGAAAGTATGCTTAAAAGCATTTCTAGATTTTTTATCATTGCAATAGTCGCTTCTGTTTGGCTCATGTTCCAAAGCCTCTTCTTTGGCAAGGCAGCGGCTCTGCTGACCAGCAAGATAAGGAACAGCAGCTTTACGGCCCTTCTGCGACAGGATGGTAATGTATCTTCCAACCGTTGTCCGGTCTTCTACTTACGTATGGTTAGCTGCGTGGTACGATGAAGAGCGCCATTCCACTGGCGTGCTCACGTCGAACTTGTCGGAGAATCCGCAGAAAGTGAATGGTCTTGGTGGCGCAACCCTGGGGGCTATCATTCAGAGCCTTACAACCCTAATCGGAGGTGCCATCGTCGCCCTCTGTTTTGGTTGGAAAATCGCACTAGTAGGCATAGGTGTGTGCTGAAGCCATATCTTATTGTCTTTCCTGAACTCCATCATCTTTAGCATGTATTCCCTTGACCTTGATGGCTGGTATCGTGCGCTTGGTGAGCAGATTGGTTCTGACCGGCCGAGCTCATTCTCACAAGTACAATAGCAAGTTGTAGTGCTCAAGGACAAGCGCAACGTCCTTGCGTACGAGCAATCCTCGAAGCTCGCCTGCGAGGTTGCCGGCGCTATTCGCACAGTCGCTTCATTGAAGCGTGAACAGACAGCCTGCGCTGAGTACAGCAAAAGTCTGGAGGAACCTCTGCGACACTCCCAGCGTACTGCCATTTACAGCACTGGATTGTACGCGTTTAGTCAGGCCGCATCCTTCGGTACCATTGCGCTGGTATGTACAGTCGCGTGCTGGTCTCTATTAGCGATGCTTACTCGTTTGTAGCTGTTCTGGTATGGCTCTGGATTGTTGACTAACGAAGGGTATTCTGTCAAGAACTTCTTTATCACAATGATGGTTAGTACCTGAATCCATTCCTACATGTTGCGTTCCCTCAACTGTTCAGAGCGTCGTATTTGGTTCCATGACCGCTGGCAATGTGTATGACCATTCATTGATTGCATGTAGTAATAACTAACAATCTATCAGATTCGCGCTGCTACCCGACATTTCCCTAGCAAAGCGAGGGGCAGCCAGCACTGTGGCGCTCCTGGACTCTGACCCCATTATCACATCTGCTTCTGGTGCTCAGAAGGTACCGGAAGACCTCAAAGGCCAGCTGGAGTTCCGGGAGGTTCACTTCCGTTATCCCACCAGACCGAAGTAAGTCTAGCATACTATTGGGCAGCTATACCCTGATAAATGAAAGGATTCCTGTACTCCGCGGTGTTAATCTGACCATCAAACCTGGTGAAAGTGTCGCTATCTGTGGAGCTAGTGGATGTGGCAAAAGCACCATGTGCGTATTTGATATTTCTACCTCATCGATATTCTTATACTGAGAACATCGTGTCGTGCAGGATTCAACTTTTCGAGAGATTCTACGACCCTCTCTTCGGTGACGTTACGGTAAAACAGCTCTAGTCGGTGTATGTTAGCAAATTCTGAGCCTTCTTTCTTCATAGATTGACGGCATCTCCCTCCGGAAACTGGATCTTGCAGATTATAGGAAACACATCGCGATCGTGTCCCAAGAACCGGTAAGTTCTGTACGCTCACCCCGAGTTTCCACATGCTCACTTATCTTGCAGACTCTATATGCTGGTTCAATCCGTTTTAACATCCTTCTTGGGGCAACAAAGCCGCCGGAGGAAGTCACCCAAGCCGAGCTGGACAAGGTGTGCCAGGACGCCAATATCTTCGACTTCATTCAATCCCTGCCCCATGGGTTCGAGACACAAGTGGGTAATAAGGGCACTGCGCTATCAGGAGGACAGAAGCAACGCATTGCCATTGCGCGTGCCTTAATACGGGACCCGAAAGTTCTTCTGCTAGATGAAGCTACCTCCGCACTCGACTCACAGTCCGAGCGAGTTGTGCAAGAAGTAGTGTTATCATTGTTTCTATAAGCTGGGAAGCTAACTAAATATGGCAGGCTCTGGACAAGGCGTCACGCGGGAGGACCACCATTGCGATTGCTCACCGTCTCAGCACCATCCAGAACTGTGATCGCATCTACTTCATGCGCGAAGGACTTGTTGCTGAGCAAGGTACCCACGATGAATTGCTAGAGATAAGGGGAGGATAGTACGTCCCACCGTTTCCTATGAAATGCTCAGAGTAACACTGACTTCTATGTAGTTACGATATGGTCCAACTGCAAGGCTTTAACCATCGTGCATAAATCATTCGTGGAACAATCTAGCAAGAAACAGGGGTACGAACATTGAGCGTGTTGGGAATTCATATTCCGCCCTGCTATACTCTAGAGTGTTCATATATAGGCTGGACTTGTAAATGTGCATATGCCCATTACAGGCTCCATTCCAATGGAGAAGGAACAAGGATTCATCCTCCTTAGACATACAGGGCAGAATAAGGAAATGGAGAGCTATGTCCGATGACTATGCGACAGCCAGATTTGACCTGTCATGATGAAAGATCACACAATGATTCTCATGTATCACGTTTCTCCAAGGTATTGGCTGTGTGCTGGCGGATTGCAGCGAAGGCATTTGCACGAAATGTAGGATCCTTCAGGACTGCGTTGAGATGCTTTGCCTCAGTCTCGCTTGAAGTATGTCAGCAATCTGCAAGGCTCGGAAGAATATCATACACGCACACCGCCTTTCTCCTCTGTTTGGATGACAGTCCCCTTTCTTTCCCCTCGCCGATCTTGCCCTCTTTGGCCTTCTGTTCCGCGCGCTGCTCTTGCTCCTGCTGGACCTCCTCTCCGACCTCTGCTAACGCAGCCCCGAGTCCTGACAACGGTATGTCTTCCTTCGCTTTACGCTTATATCGCTTCAAAGCAGATTTGGAAAATGCATAAGGCGCGTGTGGGGAGTTGTTCGAGAGTATGTTAAGCCGGTTCAATAACCGCTCGTGTCGTGCAGCAACTCGTTCTTTCTTCGGCGTCTGCACAGGCTCGACGGCGTTCTCAGCCAAAATAGCGTCGCCCTACTTCGTCCTGCTTCAGATAATCCATGGGTAATAACAAGTGTAGCATGGGCGTACCGTTTGATCAGCTTTGCTACCGGATACCACCTTTTCTACGCGCTCGTTCACAGCGAAGTCTCGCAGGGACGGCAGAGTCTTCTTTGGCCGCAGCGGCGGGTCATGAGCTACGGTTCTCGCTCTTCGTTGAGCTTTTGGCTAGAGCTTGGGTCAAACTTTGCGCTTTTCAGGTCACAAGCCGGCTTACCATGATGAAGGATGAGCAGATGTGAGGAGTCATGGCCCTGGGCGGCCTTCCCCAAATTACAGGCAGCGAACGGAATCAAAAGGCATTGCCGTAATATTACTAGTTCGGCCATGTTCAAGCTTCTTAAACCTGTGATATGGACACTATATTTGCCCTTGCCACCCACACCGAGCGAACTAGCTAAGGGGACAAAGACTTAATTCTTGAAAGGGTGGGTTTGATGTGGTCAGATTAGACTACATAATCTCCGGACTGACAGCAATCTTTATGCTGTTTACTCGTACACACGGAGAGCGGAGATTTCCCATTACGCATTCTCAAACGCGAAAGGGTTGTTGTCGACATAGTCTGCGCAATATTTCAGCATGTGTGAACTGGCAGGAAGAGTGGACATACCATTGCAGTCGCTGGGGCAAGTGCTTGGATAAGCATTGCCAGCCCAGTCACCGCAGAAGGTGAGATCAAAGATGATGTTGTGCGCGGTGAAGTGGGATGGAATGTCGCAGTCAGTGTTAACAAAGAGAGCATCAGGCTCGCCGAAGGTGCTGGTGTCCAAGGACGAGGCGCCAGACAACACAGCAGAAGGAGCCAGACCGGAGTTAGTGGGCCAGAACCAAACTGAAATCGACGTCGTCGTGCGCTCCATGGCGTAGACACCGCCGCCATTAGCGTTGAAGGGGGGTCCGAAAGAGTTGCTGAAACTGGAATGTACTCCGCAACCCTGGTTGCCGTTGTCATTGGCATTACAATCCGTAGAAGCGGAGGTTCCACCAGAAATATCCATAAGACAAGTAAAATTAGTGACCATCTGAAACAAACTTACCCCATCATAGTGCGCCCAGTTGCTGGCATCGTGCAACCGGCACTGGTGTGGAGAGAAGTCAGATTGGGGACTTCATTGTTGACACCTTGATTCTGGTCAACTTCCGCAACGGTTTCGCACTGAATTACAAACCCTCAATAATGTCGATTTCTCCGCAAGTCGGCCAATTGGTCGCGCCAGTAGTCCAGAAAGCTGGCCAGGTGCCGCAGCCCTGGATCAACGATCAGGATTTTCGGAACCGAATAATCACGGAATTTCTGACCTCGGGCATGTGGCTCAGATCGAGTACCATCAGGGCCTGAGCGAGAAAAAGGTAAGCGAACGATTAATTCGAAAGACAAGAAGCGTACGTAAGTGTACGTATTGTTGGACTGGATGCGAACCGAGTTACGACCGGGCCCAGAAGAGGTAAGAGTAGTCGTGTAGTCGGCCCGCATGATGAACGTGTTACCAGATGCGTAAGTCAGGTTGTTGGCGAGCGCCGTAGCCTGAGACGTAGTTGACGCGACCGTGAGTCGGGTCAGCAATCGCCTGCCCTACTCTATGTAAGCGCAGCAATGAAAGTAAGGAAAATATCACTTACAGGTGAATCGAGACAAAAATTGGGAGCCGATGTAGGTGTCAGCAATATTGTACGTCGTGGCGACGGCGGAGCCGGCCAGGCCGAGCAAGAGGGCGGAGACCTTGCTGATCATACTGGGACAGGCGAAGCTACTGCTGACGTTACAGGTCACCAAAGCTGCGCATATTTATGCTCTGAGACGACCGCTCGAGTGATCTTAGCGATCAGCAAAACAACCTGTGAATTTGCCAGAACGAGACACCCAGCTTCCAGCGTGGCGATGTCCGAAGCATTACCACACCCGCCATTCGGTTCCAGGACCATGTTCGCACATTCAACAGGCGTTGAATATGCCGAGCATCGGTCACTTGACCATCACCAGCCAGTGAACAGGATGGGCAGCATGCTTCTGACGTGGTTTCCAGCGCGCGCGTATGACGTCCAGCCAGCCGCGCGCAATGCACGCAGCGTGCTGGCCGCGCCCGTTCAGCATTGAACGTCGCCAGAAAAGGAGGAGAGTGGTAGAATGCAAAGCCGAGAGGTAATCGCCCCTATGAAAGCAGCATGGCTGTTTGTTGCAAAGCACGTGCACCGCGGGATTCCGCAAGAAACCATCGACTTCCAGAAGCTGGCGATAAATATAGCCGTTCTCCTTGCGCCCAGATCGAACCACTTTTGTCCCAGACCTTGAAGGATGCATGATAGGAGGTACACGCGCAATGAACCTATCTGGCCAAACGACAGAATCCACTAGGAAAGGGGCCGTGCTGAGCGCAGGCAAAACCCTAGCTCTTATGCCGAGGACACGGAATCTAAATACAAGTGAGAAAACTAACAAGTTTCCAAGGAGTTACCATACCATTTCTACTGTCAGCGTTTTGATCCCGAGTCGACCCAGGTAAGAACCCTACTCTCACGAGCTAGGGGATGGAGATTCATTGCAATCTCGACCAGGGAGTCAATGGCATCACGGGCTCTAGCAACCATGTGATAAACCAAGGGGAAACACGTTTGCTTCAGGTCAGACTTGCAACTTTGGGACCGTCATTCCGTTGACCATTGAGGGCTACTATTCCTAAAATGGTGAATAGAGCGGTGCGCCCCGCGACAACCACCGAGGGGTGAGTCGGGGGCTGAGCTCTTCTATGTTCGCATGAGCAGGCTGGTAGTTGAATGAGGGGGAAGTCTTGGTCTGTGGAAATAATATCGGTCGATGTTCTACCCAACGTGTCGGGCAGGGATTGATCAGCAGAATAGTGTGAGAGCGAAAATATGACCGAGATGGCCCGTTATTTTCTTCAGTCGCAAGGAGACCGTTGAGCATTAAGAATGTACACGATGAAGCGAATCTGCACAGAACATTGCCATTCTACAGGAGGCGAATTAGATTCAAAATCTTGGCATTAGACGGGACCGACCTCTTTGTCTCCGAGAGAAGTGATAGAACCGTAGCAGATTCTGCCCTTAATTGTCGCGTGGTTCGACTCTAGCTTCTCTCCGTTCTCCGTCCTGACCCGATGCTTATGTTTGACGTCATTGATGTTGTTAATTCGGTACCACCTTTTCATCGATTCGGAGAGCTTCAGTGCTGCATGGCCAGCGAAAAGGTCGGATTAGACTTAATCACGTTACGACCGACGAGTATATAGCACACACCAAAGGCGCTAAGATGCTCTGCACGGCTTATCCCTTTCGTCCGGGGTTCTCAAAAGCGTGTCGAACAGAGACCGACAGTTCGATTGCTGATTTTGCTTCCTAACTTGTTGATGCGAGTACACGAGCAAGATGTATGCATTGTTGTGCGCTCATCCCTGCCATCCGTCATGTCTAGAGCACAAACGCAATCACGGGTAAGCCCAACGATGCTCTAGTAGAAGCCGATCCTCATTTGTCGAGATGGAACGCGCATATATTCCAGTTGCATTTCATCAGTCGGAGATAGACCCGAAGTCGAGCACGAAGGTCACAAGTCAAACGCGTCGAACTTCGACATGGAGAGGCTGAGAGAAGTAAATGAAGAATGAGGACGGTGGACTCGATCGCTGTGTACACGGTCATAAGCATGGAGAGAGTAAGATGGTAAGCTCGGTCATGGATGCTTTGAAGGTTACTATTATGTGGCTGAACAAGGTCACAGCTTCTTGATCGGGTCACTTTCACATGCGCCCTCAATTTCTCTTAGAAGTTCTTCGGAAGCAACTCAATTCAGATTCTCTTTGACGGGATTAAATTAAATACATCCGTTTGATCCCTTTGAGTGGGCGGAGATTGCCGGAAGTATCTGACTGCGCAGAGTGGAGCTGACTGGTGGCTCACGCTGGTTGGTCGGGCGCTGCTGTGCACGGTGGCATTACGCAGGCCGTCCGGGGAACCAACCACCTACGCACCGGTAGTATTACTTGTTCTTCTCTGCCTGTCGGCTGTTGTTCATCTCTCTCTTTTCTACGTCCTCCTTCTCTCTCCCTTTCCAAGAACTATGTCTCTGCAGGTTCGTCCTCTTTGAACTCAAGTTCCGTGACATGGCTGACCTAGTTGGGGCCACAGGGATTAGGCAAAGGCGCGCTGCGCGTAGCCAAGAACTATACTAAGGGGTATTCCGATGTGCAGGCGAAAGTGAGAGATGCCACAAGTAACGATCCCTGGGGCCCATCGGGGTCGCAGATGAACGAGATCGCCCAGTTGACATATGACCAGTTCGTGAATACAATAGGATGGAGTGGGATATATGCTGATGTCCTGTTTGTGCGCGCACAGAAATCACTTTGTGGAGATTATGGAGATGCTGGATAAGCGGCTGAACGACAAGGGCAAGAACTGGCGGCACGTGTGGAAGAGTTTGACCCTGCTCGACTACCTCATCCATGCCGGCTCCGAGAACGTAGTCATCTACTTCAAGGATAATCTCTATATCGTCAAGACACTCAAGGAGTTCCAGTTCATTGACGAGTACGACAAGGATCAGGGAGCGAACGTGCGGCAGAAAGCAAAGGATATCTCGAACCTTTTGATGGACGACGAGCGGCTGAGGCGGGAGAGGCGCACCAGAAGGGATATGAGAGATCGTCTGATTGAAGGCAGGAGTGGGGGTGGCCCAGAAGACCAAGACGAGAACAGGCGTAGAAGGGAAGAGGGACCATCGCCAACTGCAAGGGGGGGCAGAAGGCAAGGGACCGGAGAAGACGACGATTTGCGCCGTGCACTGGAGTTGTCTAAGCAGAGCGCAGTAGACGAGGATACCAAGCGTCTGAAGGCTCGAGAGTGGGTGCTGTGATCTCTGATGTGGAACCCATTGACTCACGACTCTCTTTCATTTGCAGGCAGGACGAGCTCCAGCGTGCCCTTGCGCTCTCCAAGGAAGAAGCGGATAACGTTGCCCGCTCGGCCCCAACCAACGGGGAGTTATTCAACGTCTCCGAGTCCTCTTCCCGCCCCGCGCTGTCGAACCCGACCGACCTCATTGACCTCTCCCTCGCGGCGCAACCTACTGTCCAGCCCCAGCTCACCGCCTTCAACGCAAACCCATATTATGCCCAGTTGGCCGCGCAGCAGCAGGCTGAGCAACAGGCGTGGATGCTCCAGCAGGCTCAGGCACAAGCACAGGCGGAGGCTCAGGCGCAAGCACAGGCTCAGGCTCAGCAGCAGCAGTGGGCGCAGGAGCAGATGATGTTGCAACAGCAGCAGGCGCAACAACAGGCGCAGCAGCAAGCCGAATGGGAGAGGATGCAGATGATGATGGTTCGACCTCTTTGGCTTCTGATGGAATGAGGACTGACACTGGGTACAGCAGCAGCAACAACAGCAACAGCAAATGCCGACTGGCTTCCCGGGTCTCGCGCCCCAACCCACAGGCTTCGGTTCGAATAATCCATTTGCCCCCACCTTTGGTTCTCCCACCGCCACGCCCACGCCGCCCGTACCCTCCCTCAGTGCAAGTCTCTCAAGCTATTCGCAGAATCAGCTGCAAAGCCCCGTGCTGGAATCGGAGAGGAGTCACTCCGCGCCGGGTCTTAGGGTCAAGGCGAGCGATACCGCCAACCCCCAGCTCGCGGCAGCCTTTGCCAACCGGTATGTCTCCTCCCATCCATTGCATGAATATCATGTGCTCACCATTCTCTCTCACTACAGCGACCAAGACGGCATGGACACCTTCGGAAATCTCGGCAACCTGCGTTATGGTGGGACTCAGTATGGCCGCGCCGTCGCCGCGCAAACTACAGGCATGCCAGGATCGCACAATCCCTTTGGGCAGTTCAAGCAGCAGGGTGGGGCAGACCAGCCGTTCTTCAGCATCTAGACTTCCTCGCTCTCTTCTCCCTCTCCGCTCCAGATTGATGTTTGCGTGTTGCTCAAAGGGTCAAAGGAACGGAAGATCTCGTATACCCACACGCTTTACGAACCAATAGTCGTTGCCAAGTATCTTTATGCCAGACCTCAGAGAGGTTGTCACATTGTCTTTTTCCCCTCTGCCATGCGCTCATGCGGTTGTTTAATCGTCTCCGTTCTTCTGGCATGCTTTCTTTTTCTCTCAATGAACATATGGTGTGCTTTGGCATAGGTGTCGGGTGGGGATGTGGAGTCATCCCGCCTGGAAAGGCTGCGAATGGAGCAGTATTCTACATCGTCTCACCCGGATCTGATCGGCCAGCTGGATCTGGTTCTAGGACGAATCCCGATTCTATCAATTTTGGGTCACGTGTCACTTCGTTGAAAGTTTTATTTTGATGTTTTGGACCGGTCCCAGAGTGGAATCATCGTAATATTATTTGCATAAGGCGATATGGCTAATTACTCGGCATTGTAATAGGGATATTACAGATTTTACTGACAAATAGCTCATGTGTTCTTTAATAAAGTATGTGTATGGAATCAAAACGTTGAACAGGTGGTACTGGACTGCACATCATGTCAGCTGGGATATACATTTGAGAAACAAAGGCTCTTCAGCCCGTAGGAAGACGGACGTGCCTGGGACTGTTCTTGGGAGCTGGACTTCTTTGATCTTCTTCGATACGCTCATGACGCGAGGTTGAACGGAGTGAATGAAGGTGGATGCCTGCGACTCGGATGCCTTGCAATGCTCGGGTGGGTAATAGCAACTTGGGTCGGCGAAGGATGGGTACGTGATGGATGGGAGATGCCCGGTGGAGTGCTAGGTGGCGACAACGTGGAGATCGCCATGCTTGTGGAAAAGGCGAAAGAACGCGTCGAAAGATGAGTCTGCGCAGGAACAGACACAGGACGTGAGAGTACGGCAAGTGGGATCAGGCCCGGCTGAGCTCGAGCGGAGGGTGTTGCAGGGGCGCGTTCTTCATATGGGGGCGGACACTCGAAGTTGAATTCTGGATTCTCCGGATCGCTGGTGGAGTAGTGCGGAAGGGACTCGACAGACTGCCGGCGACGCGGTCCATGGAGCGTAGTATCACAACATCCCACGAAGAGGATGAAGCATAAACCTAGACCGACAGCGCCTACAACAACCAGCATGAACAGTCCAGCAGCCTGTCCACCGAGCATGATGTCAGAGACGCAGAGCCAATTCTTGAACTTGACAGCTGCGACAATTGAGTGGGGGTGTAGGTTGTTTGAGAAGCATACGAGCCAATGTGACTTGGACCCATTAATGGGAAGTATACGTCAATGTGTTTTGCCGTGGAGGGAGACATCGGTTTTTAATAGTCACAGGAAATATGTGTCGTCTGAGGGTCGCATACAACTTCGTTTCCCGGGCTGATCCGCAATTCCGAAGCCGAGGACGGAGGACCCACGAATACAAACCACTGAGGCCGCATTCAGCATACGAAAAGGTCGGAAGCCCGGGCATGATGATGAGAAATGGTGTTGTTTTGTTGCTGGCGTCGGTGAAGTGCCGTGATGTGCTATCAGGAGTGAAAGTTGCGATTGACTGGCATCTTTATTGGACGGAAGTTCGGACATACGGCTAGGACGAGGTAGAGGTAGTGGATTGGAGTTCGATTGAATGCGTTGGCGTTAGAAGAGGTTGAGAACACCGCATGTGGCGTGGGAGTCATCGAGGCAAATTTACCGAGCTGGTACACTGCCACACTCTTATGTCTTCGCGACCATCGCATCTACAAAGCACTGGTATTTCCAGCCTTCGCTCACTTCAGAAGGCTCTCGGGCTTGTGAATATTCCAATCGTGACAACGTACGGTAGGTACTGTGCCATCCAGCCGCAAGAAGCACGTTACGCCCTGGCAGGATTCCCGCACTACGCCCACTGCCGTGTGTCACTGCCGTTCGTGACTGCCGTGACGGTCCCGAACACATTCTTCTTAGCGTGTGGGCATGACCACTCTCTCGCCGGGAATCTTAAAAAGACGTTCTCGGAACTACCCCATTTCTACACCTTCTGTACTCTCTGGGTCTGCCGGTGCACCTTTCCATCCGACCCTTCAGTCTGCAGTGTTGGTGTCGAGGCTCAAATCTGAGTCATTGTGGCGCCTATCCGACTCAGTCATGTGTGTCATCCCAGTTGATGTTTCACACCTCGATAAGCCCCAAGAGGCCAGGGTGGGGAATATTATTGACATGGTGCAATGTGGGAAGCAGCTGGTATACAAATATGTGATTACAACGCATATTGGCGGGTAGAAGCCTGTCCTGCTTTCTAGAATATGCATGTGAGAGGATGAGAATAGAAAAGTGCTGTGAACTAGACCTGTCATGTAGAGTTAAGAGGGAACTCCAGTACTCTAACGAAATGGACGTACGTTCAAGTTAATGCGTTGTTAGAGTAACACTAGTGTGTTGCGATCGAACGACAACGAGCCGAGTGCGCTGTGATGAAGGTGTATGATGCGATTGAACATTTGAAGAAGGAACGCGGTGGGAGGAAGGATGTGCTCGCGGAGGCTGGGAGATGCGCGAAGACGATGGCGGAACAGCATCGGGCGTCGTGGAGATCGTCATGCGTGTGGATGAGGCAGAAGAACGTATCGAATGGTGGGTCTGGGCAGGAACAGCAGGACGGGGGAGCACAGAGAGTAAGATCGCGCCTGGTTGAGGTACAGGAACAGCCGTAGGAGGGGCGCGTTCTAGATATGGGGGCGGACAGTCGGGGACGACTTCTGGATTCTCCTCGGGGATGACTTGTGGATTCTGATCGGGGATGACTTGTGGATTCTGATCGGGGATGACTGCTGGATTCTCCGGATCGCGGGTGGTGTAGCGTGGAAGGGTGACCACAGGCCGTCGACGCCGAGGTCCACAGCAACGACAACAGCCTTCAAATATTGCGAAACAGCATGCTAAGCACCCAACAACAATGAAAAAAAGGACGAAAAGTCCCGCAGCTCCACCGATCATGAGGCCAATAACGCAGAGCCAGTCCTTGAACTTGACAGCGGGGCAGCTGAGTGGTGTATAGGTTGCTTGAGAGGCAAAGTAGGAGCGGACATGACTGGGACCCATTGGGATAGCGGCCGTCCGTGTCGATGGGCTTGGTTAACAGGGAGAACTTGAAGTTGGACTTTAAAATTCAGAGCAGAGATTGTGCCGCCTGACGCTCGTACGCGACTTGGTTTCCCGGGCTGATCCGTAATCCCGAAGTCGAGCTCCGGGGTTTGGACCAACGCAAGCAAGCCACCGAGCCCGCGGTGAGCATTCGGAAAAGCCGAAGCTGTGTTGGAGGTTGCGACGCTAATCCCATGAGCCTGAGGTTGAAAGAATTTGACGTCTTCGTTCGAGATTCCAGGCAAAAAGGCACTGGCACAGGGTGTCAAGATGACTGTGAAGTAGACACGCCCGCGTAGGTCAAGCAGCAGGTTGTCGCGCTGAGGGGCGCACTGGTGTCGGATGTAGAGTCATCGCAACGCGTTCGAACGTCCAAGTTACGTAAACCAAAACATCAAGGGCACAATGTTGTTTACTCGGGCCGGCCCTAAATTCACATCCCTCACCTATCGCTATTCACTCGTTTCCAGTCCTCAAATTTCATCTACTAGAAATTTCAGCTACTAGTAAAGAATACTGCTAGATATTTATCAGGATTACCTCGCCGAAAGAGCGGGAACATGCGGTGCGGAAAGGACGCGTCATCACAGGCGTCTAACCCAGTCACTCCTGCTCGAAAGCTCTGTTATCAAATTACCCGGCTTGCATGACCACACGCACAAGACCACACATGCAACACACTTGTAAAAGCTTTTAACACTCAGGAGAACGCCATCAACATGTGTAAGTTGAAAACACGATCGCCGCACTCAACTGCCAGGGTAAGGCAACAAGCCCGAACAGTATCATCACTCTATTAAGCTACACCCGCCACAGTTTACACGACCAAGTCCAATAAGGCCGTTTGCGATAGGTCTGGAGATACAGTACAGTACCAGTACAGGTATGTTATCAGTGCCAGTGCCAGTGGTACAGTATGCCGTATGCCGCTGCCATACGCCCCACTTTCCGCTCCAGAGTTCGACCCAAGATCAGGAGGACAAGGGAAAGGCCGACGCCTAGGGGTTACGTGGGTGCTTCAGTAAGGCACACAGATTCGCAGAGCAAGGCCGCCTCGAGGTCGAAGTACGGATTTGAGCCAGACTTCCCCATCCCGAGAATGAGCTCCAGCTCCCCTCCACCCGCACGCCCGTGTAGAGCCTCCACCCCCCCCAGCCCTCAACCCTCAACCCTCCTGCTTCTCCCCCCGATGTTGTTTCCCCGGGCCGGCCCTAAAGTACACACACTCATATATAGCTATTCACTCGTTTCCGGTCCTCGTTCGTATCAAAGGCGATGTTGTTTCCCGGGCCGGCCCTAAAATACACACTGTACACACTCTCACCTCTAGCCATTCTCGTTTCCGGTGCTCGAAATTTCGGTTACTGGTCAAAGAAGGCTGCTAGATATTTATCAGATTACCTCGCCAAAGGCGCGGGAACATGCGTTGCGACAAGGAGGACTCGGACGCGTCATCAGAGTAGGCGTCTAGGTCGAACGTTCTGTTATCAAATTAGCGGGTTCACATGGGCACACGCACACGACTATATAATGTCCAACACTGTCGAAGAGCGTCTAACGCTCAGGACAACCCCTCGACATCCAGTAATGTGAAAACCCAACCTCCGCACTCAACTGCCAGTGTAAGCAACAAGCTCCGAACAGCATTTGTGTCATTACCAATTACTCTATTACGCTACACCCACAGTTTACACGACCGCTTGTCCCAAAATAGGCCGTTTGCGAGAGGTTCGGAGATACAGTACAGGTACCAGTACAGCACCAGTACAGGTACAGGTACATTGTCAGTGCCAGTCCCAGTGGTACAGTCTGCCGTATACCGTATACGTACGCCATACGCCCCACTTTCCAAGAATTCGACCCAAGTTCAGGAGAAGGGAAGCCGACTTGGGGCTGCTCGCTCGTGTGCTCAGTAAGGCGTGGAGTCTGGGATCAGAGAGCAGAGCCCCCTCGCACAGCTCCACAGCTCCAAATCCGGAAATCGCCAAGTCCAACCAACACCCTCGCGAACAGTGACTCCCAGGTCCCCAACCCTGTACCGCCCCTCAACCCCTAGCCCTCTTTCTCCCCCTGCCAAACCACCTCCCCAGAGATCATGTCCCATATCCTAGCTCCGTACTTCTGGGCAGTGACGAGCGCTTCCCCTGGACGAAGCTGCCGTGGGGGAAGGTTGGGGTACCAGTCTGTCGTTCCCGGGTTAGGGGGTTAGGGAGCAGCACCAGAGAGGGAGGCGGGGGTTGACACAAGCGGGAGGGGCAGGAGAGGGAGCGGCAGGGGAGGGAGGAGGTCAGCAGTTGCATTACAGGCAGGATAAAGAGAGACATACCCGACTCCCATTTCTCCTCAAACCAATGCAAGTACATAGCTTCCACAAGCTCATACATCTCTTCCTCCACCTGCCTCTCCCTCTCCCTCCCACCCCCGGCCCCCTCCCCACCCCCGGCCCCGGCCCCAACCCCCGCCCGGCCCTCCAACATAAGCCCCCCCAAACCCCCTGCACCCCCTCCCCCCTCTCGGCGGTTCCAACCTCTCCCACACCCCCTCCTCCCCACCCCTATACCCCCCTCCTCTGCCAACAACCCTGCTCCACCCCTCCGGAATCGGATGAAAGTGATTATAATGCGTTGCGTACTCTTTTGGGAACCAGAGTCCGTATTCGTACGTTCCGGAATGGATGGATACGGGTCGGGTGATCCCTTTTGGGGAAAAGACGCGCGCGATAGGGGAGGAGACGATGAGGGAGGTGAGGTTGAGTACCGGGAGAGAGGAGAGTGGGGGACTGGCGGGGCCGGAGAGAGAGGCGGTACGAAAGACTCCCCCTGGAGTGTAGAACTTGAGTGTGGAGGGGGTGAGCAGGTGGGAGGGGACGTGTGCTGAGGAGTCGGGTAGGGTTAGGAATGTTATTTCCGGGTTGCGGATTATGTATGCTGAGAATTCGGATTCTTCCACTGCGAGCGAGCGAGCGGCGCGAGCAGTCAGCAGAACGCAGGGGAAAAGAGGGAAGAGCACGCACGACCAAGAAACTCCCCTGTAGCGGATACGTACGCCCTATACGCATCCAAGCTGCTCAAGCCCGGGAATTGGAGGAGCTTGTACTCTGTCTCCGGGGTGCGGGAGATGAACGTCAGTTGGGAACGGAGGTAGAGGAGGGTGTCCCCCGGGAGGGAGGGGAGGAGGAGGTCGTAGGATGCTTCCCAGGGGACTGGCGCGGAGCGGGCGAGGAGGGCGAATGGCGGGGGGCGTGGGAGCGGTAAAGTGCAGGGAGGCCGAGATGGTAGAGCAGGCAGAATGAGCGTCAGAGCGAGCACGAAAGACAGACAGCGGCCAGCCAGAGCAGAGCGCAAGTGCGGGGGAACGGACAAGCAAGGCCACACAGAACAAGAACGAAACCCAAGAACCAAGAACCAAAACCCAATCAGCTCCCACCCAACCCCCCCAAAAAAGGACTCACACTGCGTTCCCAAATTACCCATCAAGCAATCCGCGTCTGCCCATCCCCACCAGCGTGTGCCCGGAGTGAGAAACTGGGCGAACACGCCTGCGCGGTAGGGTTTGAAGAAGGTGTGAAACTGGGTGCGGTTAGCGCTGACCAGGATGGACGGGATGGACATGGGAGGGAGGATGGGACGGGATAGGTAGGATGGGATAGGGTGAGCAGGAGGATGTAGACGTACCTGATCTCTCTCCCCCCTCTGGCTCAGGAGACGTAATACCTCCCCCTCTTCTTCGAGCGTACAATCCCACCTCTCTTGCGCACAAAAGAACGCCACATGCAGCTGATCATGTTCCTCCTGGCTCAAACACACAAGTCTAACATTATCCGCCCCTTCTCCCAGTCCCACTCCTCCTTGTGCGGCCGCTCCCCCACGAGCCGTCAGCTGCTGCTCGACAGACGAACAGCCAGAACCGTCATGCACCCAAAGGAGTACGAGTTCCAAGAGGGGGTTGGCACGTACGCTCTGGAGGAACAGGTGCCACGAGGGTGAGAAAGGCGGGAAATGAGGGGAGTGGAGTAGGATGAGGGATAGTTGGGGTTTCTGGGGGGTGTTGGTGGGGTTATCGGTGTTGGTGAGGGAGTCGGCGGGTGAGAGAGAGTCAGAGTTGGGTGAGTCTGCTACAGGGCGGGGAGGTGGCCATCCTAGAGGTTTAGGGACTGGCAAGACAGGTATCGTCGGTGGGCGCAAGAGAGTCTCTCCTGCTAAGAGGAGGAATAAGAGTGCGGCGAGGACGATGATGCCAAAGAGGATAAAACGTCGAGGGAGGTGTGGTGTGTGGAATGGAAGAGGGGGAGGGAGAGTGTGGAATGGGGAATGAGTGTTTGGTGGGTGTGTGCTTGGTGGGAAGGAGTGAAGTGGGAGGGGTGAGTGGACTTGGTCTGAGTGTGATGAAGGAAGTGGAGTAAAAGGTGAACGTGTATGAGTATGAGCAGGTAGAAGTGGACGAGGAGGTGTCATGTATGCTGTTGATGTTGAGTGCGTGGATGCACAAAGAGAGAGAAGAGTGTTTATCTCATGAGTGACAGAGTGAGAAGTGCTATTGACACCGACTTGCCGCAGAGGATTCAGGTCATAACACGCCTATCCTGTCAGGTATACATCATTCCCTCACACAAAACCTGATCCTACAACGCCTCATCATTACCTCATCACTCCTTCACCCTTCTTCCTCACACGTGTCCAGGCACATGAACACGTGACACAACTTGTCTTATCCCCGACTACTGGCATGCACTGGGCATGTCTCACTCCCTCCGGACGCAGGAACGGTGCCCTAAGCGCGTGCTTGGCGTCTCTCGGTCCTACCCTCGGTCTTAGACACAGATTCCGAATGACAAACATCGACTCGGGAATCAACTCCAGCACGCCTGTTGCTCTTACTCTTGATCCTAACCTTCTCCTCCAAGCCAACGCGTTCAACCTTGCAGCATGCTCTCATTCTCTCTCCTTCTCTGCTATTTCTCTTCCCTCTGAGCTTGATCCTCGTTTCCCTCACGTGATCCCAACGAGGAAGTAGTCATCAACATACAGTACAGTACATGATCACGTCAAACCCTACCGAACCTGTAACTATGTACAACACCACGCCTCCCATGTCCAACGTCCGCTCAAACCCTCTTGAGCCAGACTTGCATCCCCCCGTCTCCACCACGATTCGCTCGTAAGAAATACGGTACCATCCTAATACTTCTTTCCTCTCCCCACCCATCCGTTCCCCCTTCCCCATCCACACCCTCACCCGCGTCGACATCAGCGTACAACCCCCCCGCGCAGCCCAGTAGCATACAACCTCAAACCAGGGTTATCAACCCCCTCCGCGCAGTAAACGACCGGTCCGCGCCTGATCGCTATTTCCAGCTTCCCAGTCCTAGGGTGGGGAAGCACCTTCCGAGCCAAGGGAGGGAAAGTGTTTCTGCTTGGCTGGTCCAGGCGCGGGCTGGGAGGTAGAAGTAGCCGGAGTTGAGTGTCCCCCCGGGGGGGAGGGAGGGGTGCGGGCACCAGCCAGGGATGCGGACGGCGAGTGAGATAGGGAGCGGGGAGGTGAGTGTGAGCCGGACGCTACCCGACCAAGGGAGGTCTGTCTCCTGCTCTATCCTCACTTTCCCCGCACCAGGAATCTCAAACTCCCATTCTGCGCTAACGAAGAAGTGTACTCCTAGCACACTCTCCTCCTGGGAATAGGAAAACGCTAGCTCGGGAAGGAGACCGAACAGCTTTGCTACGTTTGGAGGGCAGCAGGCGACGTCGAACCATTCGCTTCGGGCCTTGGTGTGGCCAGAGAAAGTCGTAAGCGGGTTTTGGTAGTAGAATGCTATGCCTGATCTTTCTTCTTTGTCTTGAGGGTCGGTCGACTCTGATTGGGCGGCATCTTGCGCTCTGGCTGCGCTCTGGCTGCGCTCTGGCTGCGCTCTGGCTGCGCTCTGGCTGCGCTCTGGCTTCGCACGCTCTTCCCCCCAAGGGCCTCGGCAGACACACTCCCCAAAACAGCATTATACACCGCACCCTCCAGTACATCCCCCCACTCCCCGTTCAACCGATGTCTCAACATCCGCTGGCTCAACATTGCAAGTGCAAAACTCGCACACGTCTCCGAATAACATCCGCCTTCTTCCTGATCCGGCAGCCAGTAGGGCGGTGCGAACCCCTCGCTTCGATCGACGCTCCCGAGCCCGCAGGTGAGGTACATCGTCCTTCGGGTCGTGGAGGTGTAGAGCCGCTCAACGGCGTGTAGGACGGCTGTGTCCCCCGAGTGGAGGGCGTAGTCGCACGCAGCGATGAGGTAGTACATCGCCCGTACCGAATGTCCCACTCCCGGTCATCAGCTGGAAAGCACCACTTCAGCAAGAAACGGAGCACACCGATCTCTTCCTGCTCAAGGAGAGGCACATGCGCCTGCTGATACGCATAATCCCTCGGAAAAGCGTAAAAATGCCTATACTCCGCTCCCCATGGATCGTACGGATCTGCACCCCTCGCACGTGCTTCGTGGTCGTAGAACGTCTCCCCGTTCACGTCCCGCCTCCCACGCTCGAGGATGAAGTATCCAGCTAGCTTTAAGCACTCCGCCCGGCCCGTGAGCTCATACAGCCTCATCAGGCCAATCTCCACTTCCTCATGTCCCGGATACCCGCGTTTCTGCCCTTCCCCAATCCCAAACAACCCCGCAACGAGGGAGACGTACTTGAGCGCCGGGGTGAGGAGGGCCCAACTACCGGTCAGCTGGTGGTGGGCGGCGCTCGCTTCGCATAAATGGCCAAGTTGGTACAGCTCGTGTTTGTCCCTCAGGTTCGTGAACCGCTGGGAGAGCCCGAGCACCGTGTAGTGGGAATTGATGTACCTTTCCTGTGTTAGCTCCTGGCTCGGGCTGCGGGCTGGTGGGCAGGCGGGACGTACCCATCTGCGTGCTGTGCGCGGTTGATGATCCCCACGCTTTCATCTATGAATTCGCGCAGGAAGGCGTCTTCCTCTTTCATCAGAGCATAACAACACGCCTCAAGAGTCTTGTACACGTCCGAGTCCCAAAACGGGTGCGGCACCCTCGGGGCATCTGCTTCGGTCCAAGTGAGCGCATAGGCCCTGCCTGTCGAGCGGAGGGAACGGATTATGCTTGGGAGTGTGTGTGCGCGCATGCTTTTCTGGATAGGGGACCAGAAGGGAGAGTGGAGCGTCGTTTGCTGCACTTGGGCGGGGGTGTAGCCTTCTGCTTGGGGAGGGGGGACATGGTCGACCTGGGAAGGAGGGGGGGTGGGACGGAAAGCTGTTGGTCGAAGGGGATGTTATACTGCCAGAGATGAGTGACCTATTGGGCCTCGGTGTAATGATACTGCAGGGTGTATTGGACGGAAGTTGGGCGGGTTGAGTAGGTTGGAGGTTGGACGTTGACTGCACGTGATGCATGACTAGATCAGCTTGTGGAGTATGCGATATAGAGGGGTGGTTATGCAGAATGCGATAGAATGAGTAGGCAGGGAATGAAGGATGGACGGGGTTATGAACAGGGGTTTATCCGATGCTTTCGCCGAAAGGGCAGTCCTCATCGCTCACACTTTCTACGCCTCCCCTCTCTCGATTAAATATTACTACGGCCGGACGATTCCCTGGTTATTGTTAACAGTATTGTCATTGTCTTCTTCGTTGCTAGCCCCAAAAAGGAAACCAGATAATGAATAACCACCTAGACGGGATCAAATTTCCCTGTTTCATTCCACGACACTCGCAGGACACGCAGGACACGCAGGACACACTCTCTACCTTCTCCCTCCTCCCACAATTTCAAAATCGGCCATGTACCGACCTTCAATTTGTCCCCTAGCGCTCCTAGCGGCGCTAGTGAGGGACGTCAGCGCCAGCGCGCTGACGACGATGGTGGCACCGCATGAGAGGAGCTGCTTTTATGCAGATGTGGACAGGGCTGGGGAAAAGATTGGGGTGCGTGTATCTCTCCAGTGTCCGTTTATTGGGTGCTGACAATGAGCCAGTTCTACTTCGCCGTTCGTCAGCTCCACCGGTTCCACGTGCCATACTAATGCCCCGTAGGTCCAGGCAGGCGGCGCGTTCGATATCGACTTCTTCATCCAAGACCCGAACGAAAAGCTCATCCTCGACGGGCAAGGCGAGCGACAAGGCGACTTTGTACTTACCGCCAACACGATCGGAGAATACTCGTTCTGTTTCGAGAACAGCATGAGCGCGTTTGCGGAAAAACTGCTCGATATCGATATCATGGTTGAGAGCGAGCCGAGGAGGGAGCCGCCGGCTAAGCAGCAGCAGATCTCGGAGCAGACGAGTGCGCTCGAGGAGAGTATATATAAGCTCAATGGGATGTTGAGCAATATCGAGCGGACGCAGAGATAGTGCGTCTATGTCTTCATCTGACCCCCTGCGGCTGACGACAAGATGCAGCTTCCATACGCGTGAACGACGGTCGTTTGATACGGTCGAATCGACCAAGAAGAGGCTCTTATGGTACGGGTTGCTCGAGACAGTCGCTATAATAACGATGGCCGTGTACGTACTCTGTTCTTCGGCTCTCTTCATCTCTCCCTTCCCCGCTCCTACTTACCCTTCCGACTCTCTTCTCCCTGTTCACCCGTTCACCTCTCTCTCCGTCCCTCCGCCTCTCTGCGCTCGACAGCACTGACAGCAGAGCAGGTTCCAAGTCTTCATCCTGCAAAACTTCTTCAACCGGTCGAGGAGGTACAAGGTCTAGATCTAGACAGGGAAGGGGGAGTGTATGATATCCTACCTGTCTGATCAGGCTAATGATACCGGTTCCATTGGATTCGATCCATCTGGACTTTTACTGGGCCTCTGGCGTGTGGGGTACGGAGAGCCGGTTGACAGCTGTGAGATGACTGGTATACCAGGACAACACGGGGCTGGCCCCTGATCGCCGACGAGTGCGTGCGATGAGGTCTGGTCAGCGGCGACCTCCAGTGCTTGAACTTTCTTCTGGCAACACGCTCTCCCCCATTCAGCACCTTCACACACTGGGAATTGTCGGCTGAAGATCTGGCCGCCTTCTGCGCCTGCAGATAGGAGTGAGCAGTCCTCTGCGCGCCTACTGTTGTAGCGTTGGGTCATACTCCCGAGCGTCTCCCAAGAGCACGTACCATCTCGCGGCCCGTGTAAAGGGGGACGCTCCTCGTCATCCTCAGGTTTCTGAGCGTCTTGCTGGAAGGCAACACTCCTTCGCGCCATGGTTCGTTCTGTCTCGAAACGAAGGGTGCAGTCTCAGACGAACACGCTCCGTTCTCACTGGTTATCGGCTCACACCCTGGCGAGGCCTCGTGGTCTACTCTATCTGATTCCAGACGAGCTTCTGCTATCCTGTGCGAGAGCGTGAATAGGATGTTTGTTACGCGTGTTCAGAGGGAAGGCTCCGCCATTGCTCTCCATCTAGACTGCATGAGCACGCCAGACGCACGTAACTTGTCACCACTCTCCTGTGCGTGGTGGGATCGCGCGCGCTGTCTCTCTCTCACTCATCCACTGGATTCTAGGATGCTATACAGTGAAGACGAGGCCCTGGGCCCCTATTCCGACAATGTGCAGTATCTGGCAAGGTCAAGCTCCTGCGAGTTTTCATCCCACTATGGTTTTCTCGTGTGATCCGACCATTACCTCGGCACAGCTGCTGAAAAACGCTGCTCTGTCTGCTCTCTCGGTGCTCCGTACGTATCTGGGAGGATTTGGCGTTGTGCGGCGCTTGATCAATCTGAGAAGCGCACGGGTGATGCCCATGCTTGTTCGGGGAAAGCCCGACTCGCAAGTTCGACAGATGGCGCTCAAATCAGACAATCGAGGACTGAAAGATTGCAGCGCCAAAGAGTCGATTCTATATCTAGTTATACTACCCGGCAGCCTGGGAACAAGCAAACCGGGATACATTAGACGATTGACACTCTGGTCTGTTTTCGAGATCAAATGCGGAATGGAAATGCTCCAGCCTGACTGGAAGCAACGTGAACTCAAGAGGAATGAAGAATGAGATAGGAAAAAGAACAAATGGCCCGGCACGCTGGGTAACCCTTCATTTGGGTCACCCTTGCAGCAGTCGAGATTAAATGGAGACAAATCGGGGGAAAAGATGAAGGAGATAAACAAAATACGACTCAACACATCGGGTACCCGTGTTTTGGCTGACCTTCCAGCCGCTGAGACGATTGAAAAGGAGAAAGGAAATGAGAAAGGAAGACAGAAAGCAAGGAGAAAGAATACGGGATCAAAAGACACAAAAGGAAGCCAACCTATGATACAGGGGAGAAGGATAGGGTTGAAGAGATGTGAGCAACCCGGCGTGCTGATGACTCGGAAGGATCCATTTGGCAACGACGTATGTGGCGAGCTGCTCGGTTCCTCTTTCCCTAGCCCTCGAAACCTCCAAGAAGTGGTGTAGGACAGCAAAGCCATGTCGACCGTGCTGCAGGGCCGGCGAGACAGGAACCAATCGCAGGATGGTGTTGTCGGTCGGGTTGCCGGGGGAGTTACGAGCTAACAAAGCCATCATTGATGACCTTTGGCGTGAAGCAAGATAAGCGGCCTGAGAGTGCTCATTAGATGTGCACCCAAAGCGTGGAACGATGACTCACCCAATAAATAGTCTAACGCCGCCCCGACCACCAGGGCCGAGGCAGCGTCAAGCGTTGTTCAAAGCGAGCGGAGAGCCTTGGCACGACGAACGCGTGCAGGGCTGACTACTCGGCGATCCCGGACAGCACGACCTGTCTTCATCTCGAAAACGTCGCCTTCATCGTCCGAAGAGTCGTACGAGACGTTCACGCGCGCACGCTTAGCACGCTTAGCACGAAGCCGATTGGTATAGTCTTCGTCGTCTCCCTCATCTCCAGAGGAATACTCTTCGAATGAGCGCTTTACTGAGGAAGGGGAAACAGGCGGGGAAACGGGAGCGACGGGGTCACTGATGCCATCGAGCGAGACATGCAAATCCTGCAGGATCTCTGACATGGAGCGATTGAGAGACATATCGCGCAGCTGAGCGACCAGATCGTTCAGTTCCGCAACAGTATCACTGCCAAGCTTAGAGCTAGTCTGCAGAGCCATGCCGTTGACAGGTTTGACCGTAGGTGTTGCGGCCGGAATACCGGCCTGAGAGGCTATCCCGGAAGGCGCTCGAGGAGTAGCTGGCACACCGGCAAGGTGACTGATGTTGACAGAAACAGTCGAGCTGGTCTTCTTGCGATCAGCCTGCTGGCAGCTTGATTAGAAGGGCATATCATGAGACTCATAAATTCAAATGATATCTTACCTCTTTCTTCATCTCCTCATCCTTCTCCATCTGGAATACGCCAAGAACGGCCTCAGCGATGTAGGCAACCTTCTCCTTGGAGCCAACGAGACCGAAGTGGTGCTTTCGGTGAAGCATGTACCACAAAAATCCGGTCGTGTTCGAACGCACTCCCGGATGCTTGAGTTGCTTGGCCTTGTAGCCATAAGACGCGTCAAACAGGATCAAAGGGTGGTGAGAAACAACGAAAATAAGATACCATATCACGCGTTCAGCTGGCGAGGTGCGACCCCGAAGGCAAGAAGGTTGGGCATTGACGAACTCCGGCGTGGTCTCATCGATATCGACTTGACAATCAGGCTCATCAAAGTCAAAAGAGGTGACAGGGGTCATGTCTTCGGAGGAGAATCCGTCCTCCTCGTCATCATCTGAGGTTTCAGGCAAAAGAATAGGAAGCTCATACGGAGCAAGCAAGACGCTCAGCAGAGGGCTCCGATGAGGTCGTATGAAACCAGGCATCGCCATACCAATGATGGCGTCAGACATCGTAGGCGCCCTGATAGCGGGGTTACTAGTGATAACTTAGGTATGGGGAAAACGGTGACTCACTTCACCGGCGGCGTGAGATGGTGCATATAACGCGGCTCAGAAGACCAAGTAGTATTGTTGAAAGGCATTGCGTTGATTGTAGGCGGACGATCAAGCAAGAGACGACGGGAGAGCAAGAGGTATGACACTTCAGAGGAGAGTGAGGAGACAAAAGTCGTGGGGTTAAAGCGGTTTCCGACCCACCGCCAGCAGTGGGCGGCAATTGGCTCCGCTTGGCCCGTACATCGTACCTCCGCACACATGATGCTGATGAATTGCACTCTTGCTCATTGGTTAATGTACGTTGCGAGGGGGAGAATGGAAGATTGTCACTGCAACAAAAGAAAGACGGTACAACGACCGCGCACGTTGATGATCGGGACTGTTTGTGAATCCTTAGGATGTTCTGTTGTTCCTACCTACTGGTTCCATTCCTCACATATTCCTCGGGCTCATTCCCCTTTCTAAATGAAATGGCAATTAGATTTGCAATAACGAGATTGAAGGAAGTAACTGGAGGGCTCACATATCAAGGAACGGAGCCGAATTCTTTGTCGGGCTTATTTGGCTTTCCTGTGCACAAACATCTACTTTATTGCTTCACTGAACAGCGATCATTGAACATTTCTTTCAAGCTGTTTAATCTGATGAGATTGTATGGAGAGTTCGCACGTCTCGCTGCTGCCTGGATCGCTCTCCTGATCGCTGAACCGTGCCTTCTGGTTGTCAACATCATTCACGCGCTGTGTCTCTCTTGTTCAACCTGTCTCACGTTCTCTTGACCTGCACGCAACTCGGGAACAGCATCAGAGGATGTCGTGTCGTCTGGGTGGGCCTATACCACAGGGGAGCGTCAACAATCAGGGTACAAAAGAGCGCAGTAATGATGAACATCAAGGCGGTTGACGAGGAGGAAGACAAAGGTCGTATTAAGAGTGCCGAGACTGTCACTGTATCAAGAGGCCGTCCTGAAGTCGAAAAGGAGCTTCCGTTCAACAATCAGATCTAGCCTCGATGGAGCAAGGTAATCGACATCGGCAACAACTATCGCACCCTGTTCCACCTTGGTGCCGAGCTTCTCCAGATCCTCTCGGATCACATCACGGTCGCCATGTCAGCCAACCGCACGGTTAGCGAGGAGAATGATGTCGTACACATTTGGTGGGGATGACGGTAGGCTGGAAGACGAGACCGTGTATGTCTGTTGTGCCAAGCATTGGTTGTAGAAAGAACGTTGATACTGCTCGTGGCGGGGAAGTTGTGCGGGGTCGTCTGAGCCTGCAGGGGTTGGCGTTGACGTCGTACGAGGTAGAGCTTCATCTACGGTCGTGCAGACCCATG